CATTTACCTCTATTTGTGTGTTTTGTAGGTCAATAGAGCAAGAGAGCATAATTCATGCAATTCAATCATGTTAAGGCTTGATTTAGATGAATGGAAGAAGAGCTTAAAGATAAACCCAATTTGGGCTACACTCCCTTGTCAGTCTAGTTTCGTATGCCACATTGCAGGCCTTATTGCAGCTACCTACACAACTCAGATGAGGAGATATTTTCATGGAAGTCATTCCAATGGGTGTCTATTATAACATATCCAAAATTCAGCTCCATTGAATAAATCGGGAGTCCGTCACCCATCAAATATAACCATGCTCAGGAGGACGTTTATCTGCAGCTGCCAAAACTCAAGACTGAATTAGCAACTTGTTTTGGGCTTAACATCTTCACCTAATCTTGGATTGGCCCAAATGACATGTGGTTGGAAAGATGACATTCTAAACGTCAATCTGGAGGGATCAAAGTCGTCATTTGCTTAAGGGAACCCAATCCGTAAGCCCATGAAGTTGATGGTCATTTTGAGAGTTTTTACCAAAATAGCCAAAATCTACTCCATACTTTCATAAACGTCAATTTTTATAAAAACTTTCAAAAATAGCCAAAAGCTCACTTGAATAGACTTAAATGCCCTCAAAACTAAAACTCACGTAAACACCAAATTTGTACACCAAATTTCAGTCCCAAATGATGTGACTTGAAATAATAAAATTTCCATTGTGTCTTGATTTGTCATTTATTTTATTTTAGAAAAAAAATTTAAAAATCATACTTAGTTAATTAACCTTAGAATCTCAAATTACACCAAAGATTAAGTGACCTCCTTTCTTGCCATGAATAACCTCACCCAAGCCGCCATTGGGCATGTACTCATTTATGACTTAGATAAGAAGATTTGTTTCATGGGTTTGAATAAAAATCCAATAATCTCACAATGTGCCTATGTCGAATTCAACCTAGAGTTTGAATCCTAACGTTGAATCACTAGGATGATGGGATGACCCTCTGCTTATTGCTTGTATTTTTTCATAGCCATGCATAGCTTCTTTGTACATGGGAGAAACCCCTAATGAGTTAATGTATGCTTTTGGATTTTTTCTTTTGGCTTCCCTTGACAATTTTGTAATAGGATTCTTATTGTTTTTATCAAGCTCAAGTTTAGTTTAAGAATAGCTTCTCTAGGTGTTCTTAACTAACATCTATCCTGTGGAGGTTCAAGTAAATTGACAAGGTAAATTGTGCATTGCATCACATTTCATTCAATTGATTTCATAAAATGATGACTAGTCATCTGTTTCTCGTATGACTAGTCATCCTTGCTCTGTAGGATTTCCAGCTGGATAACCAACTTTTTTGTCTTATTCTCCTTTCTCTCTCTGTTGTCATGTGTCATTCTGACCTAGGGAATTTTTGTGTGTAAAGGCCAAAGAATTCCTCTTTTGGCAGCCGTCTCTTTCGGGTGGAAGTTTTGGAAAGTTTTGCTTGCCATTTCTCTTCTTCTTCCTCAAGAGAGAATTATATTTTTATCTATGAGTTTTTCCAAATTGATTTCTCTTTGAAAAACTGCATTTGAAATTCGAATATGCATTTAGCTACTTAAAACACTCTCTCATTTATATATAGGTCAGATTCAAGATTGATTTCTTCAAGAGTATGGTTTCTTGAAGAAATTGATCATTCTCCTTTGAATCTAAATTTTGGTTTTTGGTTGAGTTAGAGCTTGCAAGTTGGTGCCATGGGATGAATGAGCTGGAGAAGGAGCTGTCATTGCCATGAAGAACTGAGCTTCAAGCTTTGCTAAGTTGGAGAAGAAGATTGCACAAAAGAGGTATAGCTCATCTTCCTAAATAGATCTAGGTTTTTCTTGAGCTTGCTTGTGTTCCTTTGTAAGAATCTTTTTCTACTTTGTGGATTTCTTGGTTGGTTGATGACCCTCAGTTTTTCCCAATGGTGTGTTTCTAGGTGAATAATTTCTTATTTGCATCTCTGAAACTTTTCTGAGTTTGTGTTCTTGGTGGTTGACTAGTTATCGTATAAAATTATTGGTTTGTGTTATTGTAGTTGACTAGTCATCATTATCTGATGTTTGGTGTTTACTTGATTATAATGATTTCACACACTTTCACCATAGTTGTTGCTAGCACAAGGGATGCCTAGATTGACGGGTCCTTCTGAGTGCCTAGGTTGTCACTAGTAATCTTCTAGGATTGCAGGTACATTGTGGCATGCTCTGTGTGTATTCTTGATTGTGGTTGTTCATGACTAGCAGTTGACTAGTCATAAGTGTTTTTGGTCAAGGTCTAAAGTCTGTGAAGGTGTTGCGTCTTGTTTGTGTAGTAAAATTTACCCCTCGTCACCTAAGTACCAATTTCATAATGCACAAAGTGAAATATACCCAATAGAATTTTCATACGAGAAGCTTTCCACAATCATTGATGAATTTCCTAGGCTGGATGATGTACACTCTTTCTATGGCGACCTTCTTCTTGTTCTATTCAACAAAGATCATTACAAGCTTGCACTTGGCCAGATCAATACCCTAATTCTTTGTGTGACTTTATTTAGTTATTTATGTGGGTTTTGATATTGAGGGTATATAAGTCTATTCAAGTGAGCTTTTGGTTATTTTTGAAAAAATTTATAAAAACGAACATTTATGAAAGTTTGGGGTAAATTTTGGCTATTTTTTATTTTATAAAAACTCTCATTTTGGCCTAAGCATGAGCTAATTGTTGCTTGGTCATTCTGACCTAAGCATGAGGTGATTTTTGATGGTGGGAAAGTTAGGTGAGCTGTTTCAAGTGGAGTTTTCCAGCAGCCACAAGAAATAAAGAAGATGAAGTAGGTGTTGTTGGTGAACTAATTTTAAATGCAATTGTGTGTTAGGTGAAGTAAGTGTGGGTGGTGAACTCAATATCCAAATCAGAATTTCTACTTCCCTTAACCCTATAAATAGAAAGTCTCTAAAAAAGTGGGGGGGGGGGGGGGGTGGGTGGGTATCATTCATAAAATATTCGATCACATTGTATACAAAGATAGGGAGAGTTGAGAGTTACAAAGGGAGAGAAGAGATAAGGCAGCAGCTGGGAGGCTTTGGCCTCCTCGCAGCCATGGAGATGAAGCTTTTCCATCTCTAGCATGCTATCCCTATCTTCTTCTCCTCCCTTTGCCTTTTATTTTCTTCTTGTATTTCATTAGGTTTACTTTATATTTCTATTTAATAAACACCTTGTAATTTTCTGTTATTGTTATGAACATGATGAATTTAAGTTTTTGAAGTTTGACTGGTTTCCAAGTTTCAATTTTGATTCTTGTTCTTATTCATTATGCTTATCAGTTGATATGCTTGTTTGAATGTTTGATCACCATTTAAACTTGTATGTTAGCTATCTTGGTTGAAATTAAGAGTAGACACCATATGCCTTAATTCGAGTTGAACTATGAATAGGAAGAGTATGTATGGACATTCAACAACAGGGATTAGATACATGCTTGGTTGTTTAAAATGTTCTCTTATGTTAATGGATTTATAATGCTTAATTTTGGTTTGACAACAAGGATCTAATTAGGAAATTAGGAATACAAGGTTTAGACCTATAAAGGAGAATTTCCCGATGAATATTTCATTAGCTTTGATACAGCTTATATACACACTTTAGTAGAGATACAAAAGGTAAGAAATATGAAATACAATCAATTACAATTAATCAATAATTAGAATCAGTGACAGCTATTATCTAATCAAGGCAATGAAGGAGAAGATCTTGCAGATGAATTGGAAGAGAGTTGATCGGGCTTGATTGCTGCACTAACATCCCCTGCAAATCGGATGGGCAAGGTTGGATGAGTTTGGAATAAAGGAGATGATGACGCGGTTTGTGACAAAGTTTGGTGAGAAGATCGACAAGTTGATCAATGGAATGGATGAAACAGACCCAGTGGCTGCCTAAGGAGACCTTTTCTCTCACAAAGTGATAATCGAGCTCGATATCACGAGTACGAGCGTGAAAAAAGAGATTGGCTGCCAAGTATGTGGCGGAGAGATTGTCGTAGTGCAGAGAAATTGGAAATTGGAGATGAATGCCAAGTTCAACGAGCAGATAAGACAACCAGGTTGTCTCGGCACATGCATGGGCTAATTAAGGAACAATACTCAGATTCTGTGCTGGAGCGAGATATTGTGGGATGCTTTTTGGAACACCAGGAGATCAAATTTCTACCCAAGTATATCAAGTAGCTGGTGGTGGACCGGCGAGAGTGGGGACAACCGACCTAATCCGCGTCAGAGTACGCGGTTAGGCGGGCAGGAGTGGACTGAGGACAAAGTGTTAACCCAAAATCAAGAGTCCTTTTGATGTAGTGCAAAATACGCTTGACATTGATCATATGAGAGGAGTGGGGAGTGCTCATGTATTGTGCGACAGTGTTGACCGCAAATGCCAAGTCGGGACATGTGATGATTAAATATTGGAGACATCCGATAAGTTCATGATAAGAGGTTGGAGAGGACAACAAGTCACCATTAGAGGTGGAAATAGAGATTTTGGCTGCCAGCGGCATGGAGGTGGGCTTGCAATCCAGCATATGACTTCATTGGACGAGATTGTGGGCATATTGTAGTTGAGAGAGATGAAGACACCCATTGGAGGTGGTGACCTGGAGGCCCAAAAAATACCTTGGGGGCCTAAGATCTTTAATGTCAAATTCACAGCCTAAGGCAGAGATAAAATGTTGGAGAAATCCATAATGACTGCCAGTGATGACAATGTCATCAACGTATAACAGGAGAAAAATTGCGTGCTACGCATGATGATAAATAAAAATAGAAACATTCACCCAACTTTGCGTGAAGCCAGTAGAGATGAGAAAAGTACTAATGTGACGAAACCAAGCCTGAGGAGCCTATTTGAGACCATATAGGGCCTTGTGAAGCTTGCAAACATAGTGAGGCCGAGTGGGATCCACAAACTCATGGGGTTGAGTCTTATAAACGTCTTTATCCAAAAACCCATGAAGAAAAGCATTCTTAACATCAAGTTGACGGAGAGATTACCAGCGAGAGACTACAAGACTCAGAATGGTACAAACAGCGGCGTGCTTGACAACCGGACTAAAGATTTCAGAAGTCAAGACCCAGTTGTTGGTGGAAACTTTGACAACCAGGCGGGCCTTGTAGAGTTCAATACTACCATTAGAGTTCCACTTATTCCGAAAAAACCATTTACAGCCAACTGGAGCATGCAGGGCGGAATGAGGAACTAGAGGCCACGTATTGTTTTTAAGGAGGGCGTTGATTTATTTGGTTATAGTGGAACGCCATTTTGCCTGCTTTTGAGCTTGAGAGAAACAAATGGGTTCATTAGTAACACCAACTGAAAGTAAACCATGAGGGATGAGGTACCTCATAGTTCCATCAATACGTGTTTTGGGTTGAATGATGCCAGCACGAAGTCTGGTAACTATTGGATGTGAAGGCGAAACGGCAACAGGCGCAGGCTGGGTGGAGGTAGATGTGGCATTGGGCTGGGCCAATGTGGGAGTGGGAGATACAAGCGAGTTAAGAGAAGTGGTGAGGTCTAGGTCTAGACATGGGCTTGGGTCTAGACACGGGACTGGAGAGTTGCTGAGGCTGGGACTAGGTGCGGAAAATGGGCCTGAATAGATGTTGAAATCTAGAAGGGGAGACGGGCCGGGTTGGAGACATGGGCCTGGATAGGGGCACGGGCTTGTTGATGGACTAAGGCCTGGTGGAAGACTAAGGTCGTGTGGATTTGAGAGATGAGAGGATGTTGTAGGAAGAGTCGGGCCAAAACTTATGGTTGCTGGGGCCAACAGTGGGCTGAGCTGGAAGGTGCGGATGCTGTGATTGGATTCAGTGGAGCAGGCAACAGACCCAAGGGTAGTATGTCAAGCTCAACCGTAGTAGGAGGAAGGGCAACCTGTGAAGTCTTAAATGGAAAATACATTTCATTAAATATTACACTACGAGAGACATAAACCCAACCAGTGTTTGGATCAATACTAGGATAACCCTTATGGTGAAAACTATAACCGAGAAAGACACATTCGATGGAATGACTCACGAGTTTGTTGGGAACATAAGGACCTAGATGTGGGAAACATGAGCACCTAAAAACATGAAGATGAGAGTAGGAAAGGGGACGACGAAAGAGAACATAGTAAGGAGTGATCCAATTAAGGACGGGTGTGGGGGTTAAGTTAATTAAATGGACGGCCGTAAGGGCAGCGTTGGCCCAAAAGAAATAAGGGACTTTGGATGTGACTAAGAGAGTTCGAATCACGGTAACGATATGACAATATTTACGTTCAACAAGACCATTTTGTTGACATGTGTGAGGACAAGAAAAGCATTGTTTACGTTCAGAGAACACATGATTGATGTATTCGGTACCATTATCACTTTGGAGAAATTTAATAGAATAGTTAAAAATATTTTGAATCATGGCTGTGAAGGTTTTGAAGTGAGTGAAGAAATCAGATTTGTTTTTCATGGGATATATCCATGAATAGCGGGAGAACTCATTAGTGAATAAGACATAGTAACACAGAAGAAGGTATTTCGATTCTTTTGGTGATCAGGCGACACCCGGATTTGAACTGGGGAAAAAGGATTTGCAGTCCCCCGCCTTACCGCTCGGCCATGCCACCAAAACGATGCAAAATATATAAAAAAATTTTCCTTTTGCCTTCTTTTTTATTGTACGTGTATTTTGAATCTGAATCCCGTTTTACTTAATTCCTTTTCTAAAAGAAATCTTTCTTTTTTGTTTGGGTTGGATCCATCCCTTCGATTAATTGTATAGTATCTTAAAACACAAAATATCTAAAAATTTCCATTACCCTATTTTTATATTGAAAAACAAAATTTGGATTTTTCATTCACAAAAGCAAAAATTCAGAACAAACTGGAACCGTTAACTATAATGATATAAGAAAATCAAAATTGATACATAACTAATTAGTATTGATTTTGTTTCAATACAAAAAAATCCTTCTCAATTTCAATTATAACAGCAATTTTGTCTTTAAACGAGAAATTTTAAAAAATATATTGGGGGTGGAAATGAGGCAATATCTACAATATCTGGATTTAATCATATACAGTTTGAAGGGTTTTGTAGGTTCATTGAGCATGGCTTAAAAGAGGAACTTTATAAGTTTCCAAAATTTGAAGAGGAAGCCACTCATAGAAGGAATAGAAGACATCCATACATCATAATGACTAAGATAAAATAAAGAGGGAGCATGATTTTGATATATAGAATATGGTAATTGAGTAGACTTGCTAAGAGCATAACTCGTACAAAATTCTTTGTTGAAGGGAGATGAGGATCCTAAGTGGGAACGTAGTTTGGAGATAACAGAAGAAGATGGGTGACCAAGACGATTGTGCCAAGTGGAGGAGGAGACTGTGATGAAGGCACGAGGAACAAATGAAGCGGAAGAGGAGGATAGAGACATGGGATATAACTCATCCTTATAGGGGCCCTGAAAAAGGAATTCACCAGTATGTAAGTCAAAAATGCGATAAAAATTTGGACCAAACACAAAGAAGACATGATTATCATGAGTAAAACAAGTGATGGAAAGAAGATTTTTTGTAAGATGAGGAAGACCAAAGACATTACGAAGAGAGAAGGGAGAGGAACCAAGGGAAATGGGAAGATTACCAGTTTGGGTTATAGGAAGGGAATCACCATTGCCTATGAATACCAAATTATTACCATTATAAGGCTGGGGCTGCTGAAGGGTGGAGAGTTGGCCTGTTATATGGTGAGTGGCGCCCTTATCCGAATAACAAGTGGGGTTATAGGACTGAATCATGTGAGCACCAGCAAAAGATGGAAAGGTTTCGGGCCCAGAATACTTGTGGGGGCATTGAGTAGCAGCATGCTGAGTTGTAGAACACGTGGAACACCAATTTGAGGGAGATGGGCCTAGGATTCCTTGTTGATTCCAAGTGGGCTATGGGACAGATCCACGAGGAGAGTGAGAACCATTCTAAGGGTTATGCCACGAGGATGGGGCGCTAGGATGTGTAAGATAATACCAGCGATGAAAACCATCACAACGAGAGCCACCACGAGAAAAGCCACGATGACCACAATGGCCCCCGCCACGAGAATCACCGCGCAGATGGGAGGATCCTTAGTGAGAGGTGGATAAGCCTGGCTGAGATAGAGGGTGAGCGGTGATGAGGGCTGTGTTATTGTCTGCGGAAGCCAATGAGCGAGAGGTCTGGTTCTCAAAGACTAGCAGACGAGAGTAGAGGTCTGTGAAGCTTGGGAGAGTGGGTTGATTCAGGATGGTGGTGATAAGTATGGAGAAGTAAGAACCAAGGCCAGATAGGACAATCTTGACGAGATCTTCATCGGAGACATGCTTTTGAACGAAGAAGAGGGCATCGGCAAAAGATTTTGCATGATTGAGATACTCATCTATGGTTTGAGATCGTTTCGGCATGTCATGAAGTTGGAATCGAAGGATGGACGCACTCGCAAGATTGTGTTGGGCATAATGGTTCTGTAAGCACTCCCAAATTGATTGGGCAAATTCATGACCTACGGTTAAGGAGAAAACATCAGGAGATAGAGTTATGGTGATGTAGCTGACAACGAGTTGGTCCTGTTGGTACCAAGAGAGAAAATCATGGTTAGATTTGGTAACGGTAGTGGTTGAGGAGGGAGTGTCGAAGGCAGCAGAGGGAGTAGTGGTAGTTGAGGTGTTAAATTCATATGGTGAAGGATTTGATCCATCGACAAACTTCCAAAGGTCATGACCGATGTGGAACGGCTTGATTTGGCAGAGCCAGAGAAGGTAATTGGAGGCGTCAAGTTTGAGGAAGTGGGAGGTGTTAAGGCCGGGAAGAGAGCAGGCCATAAGGATTGGAAAGAAAGGTAGGATGAGACTTCAGGAGAAGAATTGAAAGGCTGATACCATGTAAAGGAGAATTTCCCGATGAATATTTCATTAGCTTTTATACAGCTTATATACACTCTTTAGTAGAGATTCAAAAAGTAAGAAATATGAAATACAATCAATTACAATTAATCAGTATTTAGAATCAGTGACAACTATTTTCTAATCAAGGCAATGAAGGAGAAGATCTTGCAGAGGAATTGGAGGAGAGTTGACTGGGCTTGATTGCTGCACTAACAAGACTAGACACCATGGCTAAATTATACATTTAAGGGAATCAATATTTTTACTTGAATTGAACTTGTTAATTTGATTGCTTGAGACTTAGAATTAGATTGTTCCCTAGTGTTCTAAAACTGTTTTCAAACCCAAAATCAGTTTTAGTGTCTTATTCTTTTATTTAATTTTATGTTTTCAATTTTTGTGCTCTTCTAAATCATCTTTAAACCTTGTTTCCATTTCAGTTTTGTGTAGGAAATCAAATTGAATCAATCTATCATCAATCCTCGTGGGATCAAACTCGCACTTATACATGCTATACTACCCAATGACTCGTGCACTTGCGAATATCATAAGTTGAGGATACAGCTGAATCGATTTTGGTGTAGCTGAATTCAACACAATAGTGATTGGGTGCTGCCATTACCACTTTCCCAGCTAGATATAGGAGGATATTCAAAAGTCTTAATACAAATATTAACAAGGATATTTAAGTGTCGTAGAATATTTGTTACCTTACACATATGCCATGACATATCTTATGAGAAGTAAATATAATGACAAATAGTTTAGCAAATTTTGGACATATATTTTATCATTATATGTTTGGTAATTATGTTATCTCCTTCCTACAATATTGTTTAGATTTAAATTTAAATTTGTATGAGGATTGTAGTTATAATTCTCTCTTTTGCTTGTTTTTGATTTGTTCGTTTACATCCATGTTCTACTTATTAGGCATGGAGGTTAACAACACCAAGGTCCCGATATGCTTATCAAAACTAACCTCAGCATATTCAACACTGTCTTGTGGATCCAACAAACCACCATTGCTCATTTATTTTTGGCTGAAAAATATTGTGCATGTTGAATAGCTGGCCGATTGTGCAATCCCTGCTTCACATGCCTTCATCTCCACGTCAGATTGACCGTTCTGAGCCCTATGAGTGACTGGCTAGTACGTCTCTGTGTCTCCCTTCCCATTGTCTTCACATAAACACTCACTGGTTCCCAAACAAGGCCTCATGGTTCTCACTAATTAAGGGCTCATTTGATAACCATTTCAATTTTAGTTTTTAGTTTTTAGTTTTCATTTTTTGTGCTAGAATATAGATAAAAAAAGGAGAATGGAAGTGAGAATGAGAGTAGAGATGATATTGAGAGGGAAAAGTAGCAATAGTGAAAACAAAATTTAAAAACTGAAATCTATTTGAAATTGTTTTCACTTTCAAGTTTTTGTTTTTACTTTTGTTACTCTCATCCTTCCCTCTCATCCTCTCTCTCATAGTCTAAAATATCGATAATATCGATGAAATATCGAGAATATTATCATTTTTTTTAAACGTATCCATACACATATCGTATAAATATTGATAATATCGGAAAATATCGATGTCAATAATTTTGCTCACACTTCAACAATATTTTGTCAAAATATCGCTATAATATAAAAAATATAGAAAATATCGATGTAATGGAAAAAAGGAAAAAAAAACACAAAGCACACGCGCAAAGGGGATTCGAACCCCTGTCATTTCACTCTTCCAACGCCTTAACCACCATATTGCTTATGTTTTTGTGATAATATGCAAAGGGTAAATCTATGTGGTAGGAAGTCACTCATGTATCTTACCATGCAATGTATAAAGTGTAAAATATTGTAGTAAATCATTATATATAAATGATTATGGTGTTTGTCAGCTTGCTATATAATTAACTTAAATAAGTTAAACCCATCATGCAATGCATTTTCTTCCAATTTTTTGTGATAACCTAATAGATAATTGACTAAATAAACATCCTCCAAAGTTTCAATAAAAAATTTCAAGTTTTTCTTACAATTTCCGTGGTTTTAATTCAATTTTTATTGATATCGATAATATCCCGATATTTCCATCAAAATTTCTTTGTTTTTGGACTACCGATATTTCCGATACCATCTATATTTTAGACCTTGCCCTCTCTCAATCTCATCCTCACTTCCATTCTCTCTCTCATTTTCCTCTATACTCTAACAAAAAAATGAAAACTAAAAACTAAAATTGAAATAGTTACCCAACGGGCCCAAAGGGTATTGATTTTGTAAATCTTGTCCTCACTAATTAGGGAGTTGATTAGACTCAGTAATTGATTAGTTTACTTGAGTGAGGCTGTGAATTCAAATCTTTTATCACCAAATTCAAATCCCCTAATTGATAACATTATAGAATGAAATAAAAATCATCGTTTAAAGTCTCCTATCACATCTCTACTGATATAAAGCCAAATCAAAGACACTAAGGGCGACATGCTTCAAAAAAAAATAGTGGACAAGAACTACCCTAAAAAAAATTCAATGGAAATGAAATTCAAAGATTTTTTTTAAAGCAATTGAGGTCACAAGTTTCGCCATAAAAAATGGGACAACTGTGCCACTCAAAAAAAAAAATTTGAAATGAAATTCATTATAACTTTCGCATGGGTATTTTTGTAATTAAACAAAATAAAGAAATTACAAAGAGAAAGACGCTAAGGATCCACTCAATGCATAAATTTCAACCGTCAATCACTCTTTCAGTTTTTTTCTACTCTGTCCTACCATCTCAAATGTTGTTCAATCTCAAATAAGGTCAAAAATGTACATGACTTTTCACCTAAGAATGGTGAAATAGCATGGGACGAAAAAAATCATGGGTCATGGACCAATTAAGGAGAAAGCGAAGAAGAATCGGTTCTTGGTCCAAGAATTCAGTTCTGATTCCTTCTGGATTGAAAACATTTTCTTCCCATCATCCCATGCAATATGCTGCAGAAAAAAAAACGCAATTGCTTGGATATTAATTAAACTCTCAATCAAGTGTCAACAGAGCACATGGCCATTGGTTACCAACACCTTAAAGATACGTTAATTAGGCACATGATATGGGATCCACCATCCAAACTCAATTTCCTTCCTAACAAATTTAAGGGTTTTGCACCAAACATCTCTACTTTTTAAAGGTGATACCTGTAATATGTGGCCATGTGCACTTTCACAATTTATTCATAGCATAATTAGTCAATTTAATTATATACCATATGTAGCATATGCGGGTTAGGTTAGTTCTGTTTATTTTTGTTTATTGCTAAAGTTAAAAAAAGGGAAGGCAAAAAACTTACAAACATGAGTACCATGAGGATTTGAACCCATGACCACTTGGGAGCACACCAAAAGCCTAAGCCAATCCAACTAACACATGGTTACCCTACAACTTACACACACGGGTACCATTGGTATTAAGTTAGTTCTAACTAGGTACCTGCCCCTTGCACTTGAATTCAAATTAGTAGCATTTCTACCCATTTGCCATGACAAAGGGTAAGGGCAAGTAAGGGCAGTTATGTTCACGTGAATAGTATTTACCCTAACAATTTTTATATTTTTTTGCTTTTTCACCCATTGCTATGGCAACCCAATGACAATTACTATTCACATGAGATTAATTTTATTTATACGTATGAGATTAATAAATAAAAAATTCTGAAAATTTTGGTTTTTTAAATTTATTTTATTTTTTCTTCGCTAGCATCAGCATCCTCAGGCAACAACTCGGGTTTTTCTTGCCTTTGGGCTTGCCCAGTCTTGATGGAGCCCACCATCTACTCGGATTAGATTTGATTAGTAGAGTGTGTTTTTGCAGCACATGGAGCCTTTTGCCATGGCAATCCAAACTAGTGAAACTACTCTAATACTTTCTCATAAATTAGAATAATTATCACATCACATTGTCAAAACAAAACAATAAAATTACGCACAATATGTACATTTTGGATTTCATAGTTATTCTTAGTGCCAAACTTGTACACGAAGTTTCTTACTTCTCTTTTAATTAGCAAAGTAACTTGTTTGGCAAAATTTAAAGAGGAATTTGAGAAATGACAAGAAACTTCGAAGAGGAACACCTCAATAGGTTATTTCACAAATCCCGCTTGGCGCCTGGTTTTCAGTGCACTGCCCAGTTCAACAAATTGCTAAGCCTGGTCTTCATTGCCCAATTCGACAAATGGGACCAAATTATTAGAAATAATTGTAGGATTTGTGGGAACACAGGAAGATACAAGTGAAAAAAGGAGAATTCCTTAGGTCAATTAATCAGGATTTATCTGCGAGATCCACGTGTTGTCAAGTTGACATCAATTCTACGTGACAAAACCTTATTAGCTCATAAAAAGAAGTTAGTTGTCCCATGAGATTGAAGCGATCTTCTTCAAACTAGTAAGTAGGAATTATCCATTCTGACACCAAAAAAAAAGTATGAATTATACATGGTAGACAAAAATCTTCCAATATTTAATTACGTTAATAATTAATTAATAGGTGAAGGGTGTTTTGTGAAAGAGAGAGAGAGAGAGAGAGAGGTGACGGGTGTTTGTCTGGATGTTGAATTTTTTGAATCACATTTATTTTCTTTTCTGGAATATTTGGTATGGTGTCATTTTTATTTCAATTAACAAGAGAGGAGTTGAATTTGTATATTTTTTCAGTATTGAGAATAAAATTTCATGTTTTTAAATGAACAACACAAAAAGATAAATAAATGAATTTCATATTTATAAGAAATTACCCAACCCAATCTCACAAACTAAATAATTAGCCAAACAAGTGATTTTACTAATCCCATCATTTTGAGTCCCTTACTTCAAAATTCCATCATTTTAAAATTCCCTCACTTTGAAGTCTCATCTTCAAAATAAGGGTAGAGTCGGTGCAGTTACTGACCTAGATTCCAGACATCCGAATATTGACCAACATCTTTGGTATAACCCATAAACAGAACCGTCACCGCCCATCGTCAATTTGCCAACTTTTGGTTTTTCTTGGTTTTAGAGCCGGCTGCAGTTGGTTTCGGTCCTACCGTTGTCGAGAAAGTTTGTCGTCGTCTTCAAGGCAAATCATTTTCGACAAGCCCCTTATCCACCCATTTTTGCACAAAGAGAGAGAGAGAGAGAGAGAGAGAGAGAGAGAGAGAGAGAACACATTGGGGGTAAATAGTGGAAAATGCATTAGCAATATGATGTTTCGCAGTTTCACCAAGGAATCATGTTGGCGTAGTGGAAAATGGTTGGGTGTGTAAGCTGGACTTATTTCCAACTTCTAACATACTTAACATTTTTTGCTGGACCACTATAGCGGTTTGGTTTGGTTCATTATATTCCGAACCGCTTCGACAATGAAGGGCTTTGGGTTGGGCCAAAAAAAATCGAGAGATGTCGATTTTTTAGGCCAAAATCTCAAGTCGTATTGGTCGGTTTGTCAGGTTATCGGGTGAAAATCCCTGCTCTACTTCAAAATACCCCATCCAAACACACCCTTAAACAATTATTACTTTATCATGATGTTAACGGAACTTTAGATCAGCTTAATGATCGATCATGCTGGGTGTTGTCAAAAAAATTCAAGCAAGCGTTCAACATGCAAGAAGTATTATTGTTTTCAGCTTTATTTATTCTTATTGCTTTTCTCATCCAACAGTCCATGGACCAGACCACTATATCTTATGAGAATAAAATTATCATCTGATTTAGCATTTTCTAATACCAAATAATTAGATTTGTGACATTTATAATGCTTTTCGATTTTGTGACTTAAAGACTGATAAAACATATTATAGCTTCCAAAATTTTGAAATTATTGAGATAAAAGAAGTGGTATATATTTGTAAATTGTTGAAGAATGTAAAGTACCACATCAAAAACTTGACAAAATAAAATACGATATATTATGTGGTTCCACTACTAATTTTACAAAACCTTTTTGGGTACAAAAAATGGTAGGTGGAATAATTAGGGGTGGACATTTGAAATGAGGAGCCACACCAAACTGAACTGGAAAAAAGGGAAAAAAATAGTTTTGACTTTAACCGATTCGGTTCTTGAATTTTACCACTTAAAAATCGAACCAAACGTAATATATAATGTTAATTGTATTAGTGTTGTGAACCTTGAGTGCAAACTATGAAACTCGAACTCGTACAAGGGAAAAGGGGGTCTCTCATGCACCCACACAATCAAGATATCATAGAAGTTTGAACGTGAGACCCCTTTTTTAATTAATCATAAATCTGAGACCTCTTTATGACTGGCTTGACCGCGATGACAAATTTTTCCTCTTTTAAAACACTATGGCTTTAAGCCGTTGCAACTACGCAAACTTCCCATGTTCTCCGAAATTTCCACGTTGCCCCTACCGACCAACGCGCTAAAATCAAGGTCACAAAATAAGCTCACATTCCTCCGTGTGATTGTCTTTCTCACATTCAAAACACCTTCACCTTCCCTTGTATTTAAGAAAAGCAGAGAGACTTCAATTCGCAATAACGTAGCTCAGATCTTCACACCCATACCCACAGGTATGGCTTCTTCTCTGTCCATGTATATCAATCTCTGAATTCATTTACGCTGCAATGGAATTAGGTTTGATCTGCATTTGTTTGATATCGATCGTTATTGCTTTTGTGTTTTTGGCTCAGTTTTGAGTTGCATTTTATCTGATTTTGTAAATTCTGCGTGGATCTGATTTGATCCGTGTTTGCTTGGTTTGGTTACGCACTGTTTGGGAGACACTAGCAAGCTCAAGCCTTTTCCTTTCTGTTTAACCATTTTTTGGTGATGATTGTGTTTCTTTTGAATTTCAGCCTACATTTGTCAGTTTAGTGCTCGATCTGAGTCTCCATGATGCTTTAATGTGTATTCACGTTGAATGATTCGATCAATTCATTCCTGTTTTTGGTTAAATTTGGCCTTTCTGTTATCTGATTATGCTTATTCTTCTTCGATCTCAAAGGTAGATATGATTGGTGTTGAATTGAATCCTGAGAAAAAGGAGGGAAGATTGAGGAGGGAAAGATTGACAATGAAATTTTGAATTTTTTTACATGTTGATTAACTTGCAAAGATAAATCGCGAAGCTTGAGCATTAGATCAGAACTAAAACTTTTATGTTTGTTTGCATACTGTCTTCTATTCTGCACCTGAATTGATCATTATGATTGCCGTGTTGGATCTGTGGTGAATTGAGTGAGTGAAGGTTTGAATTGAATGATTTGAAATTTGTAATGGGAAAGATCTAGTTCTGATAAATTTTACATTTCTTTGGAAAAATTTAATCACTTTATGATCAAATCTATGCCTTTTGTTTTGCTAATTTAATATGCATATTTTGTTGTGAAGAAAAATACAATTTAAAATTTGTTTCTGACTTGTATGGCCTCTGCTTGTATAGATCACACAGTTTATAAGATTTGTTAAAAGGCACTTTGCTACATTATGAAGCCAAGTTTGGACATTTAATGGGTTATTGTGATACACATGACATTGACTATTTATATCACTGCGGTGACTGTCCCAACTAATATTATGACTCTTGGTGGAAAATTAATATGTTTGTATATACATATGTGCAGAAAACATATAAATATGTGCTTAGATGTACCATGCATACATGACAGTTTTGTTAGCATGTTAAATCTTTTTGCACATTCAAGAAAAAGCATTGATTTTTTTATTTGTTTGTATACCTAAAATTTTATAATTGCAATGTTTTGGTTTGTGCAGATAGGTAATCAGACACATTTAGTTGGTGCCCATGGGAACAGTGTTGATGCTGCTGCTAAGAAGGTATACCTTGGCTTTGCTTTTAGTATTAAAAGAGATTCTGCAATTATGCACTGCTTCTTCTGGAAATTTTGTCCAATTTAAGTTGATATTGCATTCTTTGGTCTGTTCAGTACTAAATTTACTGAGAAATGAAATGCTTTCATTTAGTCTTCTCCTGAGAACATTATTCTGGATGATGTTTGTTGTGGTTTCAATATATATACATATTATATGTTTTATATTTATTCTGATAAATACATCCTACTGCAGGAGGCTAATGGAAGCTTAGCTGATCTGAACCCTACAGTTGTTTTTGTATTGGGTAAGAAAAAAATATAACTTGAACTAGTAGTATCCTAATCATCCTGTTTCTCTGAGATTTATAACTGTTTGCTACCTGAAAGAAGATGTACTAATCTTGTTCATGATTTTAATTGCCTGTTTTTGCTTTTTTCTTAATAGTTCAGGGACAACATGTGCATGATTTAAAGTCCTATCTCAAAGCAATGATCTTTAAGCATGATCCATAGGCATTTTAGTTTTTATTTCAATTTACCCTGGTATGGGAGACTAATTACTGAAATGATCATTAGGTTTGTTTACTAGCGGTGTTTTATTTATACATTCTCTTTCTGTTTTTACTAGCTATACTAAAGCTCCAGTCATTTCTTTGGTACCACTCCTCTCTTCTTTTGAAGTATCTGTGGTGTCTTTTACCAGTTGTTTCTTTTGATTGCCTAGGTGGCCCTGGCAGCGGAAAGGGTACCCAATGTGCAAACATTGTTCAGCACTTTGGGTATACCCATCTCAGTGCTGGTGATCTTCTACGAGCTGAAATCAAATCTGGTTCTGAAAATGGGTATGGCATATCTGTCTTATAACCTAGACAAATGTTCATTTTGAAATAATCTCTCTTTACGGAAACATGCATCTTAAGATTAAGAAAGATGCTTCAAGTGTAATTAAGATTGAAGTCTTAAAATCTCACACCCTCACACACATATGCTTTAATTCCTGGGATATTTAGCTTTCCAATGTTTCAATAGTTGTGTAGTCTACTATTTGCGCTTGATAGTTATTTCATTTTATGGTAGTGGGTTATACGATGAGTTCAGTAAAAGATATCTCCAGTTTCCATGGATTCATAGTCAAACAATAGCCCCTCTTATATAAGATGAGGTGTGAGGTTACTCAACGGGTAAGGTTAATAAGGTTGAGGATGGTTGCCTTTGTTGTGTACACTGGTCCTTGTATCACCATTTGATTAAGAATGAGCATACCTGGATTGTAATTAGTCTTTTCCAATTAAGCCAAACACTTGAAAAGGTGTTTGCACAAAAGTGTCTTATTTTATGCCTTTAAGTTGAGAAATGATTGTAAACCTGCTGGACTTTGTATTCCCATGAAATTGTTTACATCTCTTCATGTAACAACACTGACAGGACCATGATTTCAAATATGATTAAAGAAGGAAAGATTGTTCCTTCCGAAGTAACAATTAAACTTCTTCAGCGAGCAATGCTGGAAGGTGGTAATGACAAATATTTGATTGATGGGTTTCCTCGTAATGAAGAAAATCGTGCCGCATTTGAGGCTGTGGTAAGCCCTTTGCATACGTTTTCCTCATGATTTTAACTGTAGCTTTTGGTAATTGAATATTTTTCAAAATGATTGATTTACTTGTTGAAGCTAATGCCAAACTCTGTTAATGGTTCTGCAGACTAAAATCGAGCCTTCATTTGTCCTGTTTTTTGACTGTTCTGAAGAGGAGATGGAGAGGCGCCTCTTGGGTAGGAACCAGGTTGGAAAACTATGATTTCTACTTGTAAAGGATTTTGTATACTGTCTTAGTATGATGATATTTTCTATTTTTGGTTTCAAAATAATTATGTTGATTTTTTGAATTTTTTTGTTGGGGGCAATGAAGGGAAGAGAGGATGATAACATAGAAACAATAAGGAAGCGATTTAAGGTTTTCCTAGAGTCTAGTCTCCCTGTGATAGAGTACTATAACTCCAAGGGGAAAGTTCGGAAGGTAATTTTTCGATTTGTTTTACTTTTCCTGGCTTTTATGTCACTACATTGTATATTTAGTTATAATAATTCGTGTTAACCATATGTTCTTGCATGTTTGTTGGGATCACTGTTGTTTTCACTCTCAGATTGATGCTGGAAGGCCCGCGAAGAAGTTTATGAGTCAGTAAAAGCTATTTTTTGCCCCAAAAAATGAGAAGGTAATGGGCCATTGCCATGCTTTGATGAAATGCTTAATCTTGTTCTGGATGTAATGGTTTAAGATATGATAAGGGAGTTTGTAGATGCTGTTCAATGGGAGTGTATTGTCTTCCTAGTGTGGTTTTGTAAATATAATTGGTGAACTAAATGCTTCAGATAGTAAGCTTATTGGCAGCCTATATTGGGAAACCAACTTCATTAGATAACAAAAGGGGATATTTGAGTTTAACGTTTTATGAAAGTGAAGGAACTTTTTAGAATTACAAATGACCTAAGTATGATGTAGTTTAATGTTGACATATGTTTCCTTATCAGTTATCCACAATTGTAAGCACAATTATGGCAAACCAAATTGATCATGTAAGGCAAATCATCAGAATGTAGCTACAGTCAGAAGCATAGCTCGAAACAATGCAACTTAGAACATAGTAGGAGGTTGGGATTTAAAACAATTGACCAGAAATATTTGAGGGCAACTGGCTAGCTAAAACCAAACAGGAGGGGTAAAAAAGGAACTGAGAGATTTCTCACAGTTCAGATCAAGGGCGGAATTTGTTTGACATGTTTTGATATGGGTTGATTTGAAAGTGATGGGTTGGGTAAAAAACAATGAACTGCCTGTAAAAATAACTTGAACTGTACCAAGAAGAGAAATTCAAGATATGCTAGTCTCCTTTTATAATTTCTTTCCTGTGGAATCTTAGCATGCAGTTGCTCTCATCTGTACATTTTCCCTTGTCATGGACGTTAACTTGAATTGCACCAAGAAGAGAATCTAGATATGCTAGTTTTTTTATCATTTTTTTTCCTAAATAATTTTGTTTGCCTGTGGAATCTATCATGCAGTTGACGAAGTGCACATTTTCCCTTGATGTTAACTTTTTGGTTTGCAGGCTGATTAGTTGCTGCAAGTGTGTCCAAGATTTCAGATCTTGTGTCTATTGAGGTAAAACCTTCATTTTGAACCACAAAAATAACAGTTTACACGTGGTGATATCACCTGGTTTTAATTCTGTGCAAAACTTTCAATTTGCACATAAGCACACATTCTCTTTTTACATGTTACATTTAGGACCAGGAATCTCAAAATTAGATATAGAATAGAAAAGAATGGAAGATGTGTTCTCATGTGACCCCACATGACTGGAATAAAGGTAGCACTGATGTTGATGATGGTGGGTTTTCCATTTAGGACCAGGAATCGGAACTATTCGGGTCACTTTTAGGGTTGACAATCTTAATTAAGATTAAAAGTAGACACTCAAGTTTTGTTTGTAATCTTTGGCCTAACAAAAAAACTTTGTTCACAATCAACTGCTTGGCAAACTGAGATGCCTGAGCAAAAACATGCCGCTGACATTCAAATGCCTGTGTTTAATTCAAGTAGCCTCCACCATCACACACACCTCCACATGCATGCACACAGGCAGTCTCACTATTTAACCTATGCAAATGTTGACATGTTTTTATCTTTCTGTGGTGTCTTTCTTTCAGGTGATGCAATTGTTGGCTGCGTATATTGTTTTCTTTTGAGGGTTTTATTCTTGGTGCTTCCATATTATAGAATGTATTCTAGACACTTGAGGTGTATGCCTCTAGTCTTATATTGGTGATTGTGTTCAAATTTTAAGGTTTATAGTAATAATTATGGCAGTAATCTTCTGTTTCAAGTGTTATAAGTAGCTATGCATCCTTTACCCCCTTTTGCTTCTTGTGGGATAAAGCGCTCGAATTAGAAAATGTGATGAAAGACAGCAATTAAAAGAGAGAAATTTCATTGAAAGTGATTGTTGCAAAGATGCATTGTACTTGTAATTTTCTGTGTTCCTTTGTGATGGGTGATAATCAAGGAAATTATTGGTTTTGGGTAAAGTTCAAATTTTAATTCCTTATATCGTTAAAGAGAAAAAAAGTAGATTAAAGTTAAGTTAATGGTTTTTAAAGTAACACTTAAACTGATGTACATGTTAACTTTAACACAAAAATGAACTAGAACTGATTCTCACAGGTTCTAAACGAACATGATTCCGTTCTCCCTAATGGTATCAAGAACAATTCCAAGCCTACCCTCAATCCTCTCATTCTTTTTGGGCTCAAAAGACATTGCAAATACATCAGCATCCTTGCACCTCTCTGCGATCAGGTTTCCTATGACTCGACACGCATCGTTGTCGACAAGCGACGTCAACGAATACCTCAAATCCTTGGAATTCGTGCTAGCCACGGATATCACTTTGCTGGTACCCCGGTGCATCACTTTGGCATGGATAAATCGTTTTGAAAAGAAAACATCCAGTAAAAATGGCCTCATGTACATATCTGTCCTTTGCGACCATGATTTCCTATTAGGTCTTTTTGCAGCCTCACCTCGAGATCTCCGGGTCCATGCAGCTCGAATGAAGGAATCCTGCGAAACAAACACGAGCACTTTGAAACCTTTTCCTCCATTTCACTGGTTGAAAGTTTAACTGAGGAAGAATCATGACTCGTGCAATCTAAACTAGCCCTGATGTAGGCCATAATAACTATAATACAATTTAAAGACTTCTACTTTGTTGTAACCAGGGAAAACAGCTAAGCTTCTACTGTTGAGCACAACATTATTATGTCACATTAATCAGTTCCTCTTGCATTAAAAAACCAAATAGTTGAATTCCACCATAGCTCATTGTCCAAAAGATTAAACTCAATGTCAGTCTTGTATAGCCCAGTTGCTTGAACTCTTTCACCTCCATCCATGTGGACAGAGGTTCGAAACCCTTAGGCAACCAATGAATATTTGTGTAAACCCTCCCTCCCCCAATCGCTTGTACGAAAAAAGTCTAAGCTCAAACGTGCCAAAACCAACAAATTCCCTTTAGCTACGCAGCACAATTAGGACTTTATGAAGTAAATTGGTTCATAACCATCATAAACATAACGAGATAATTTGAATACCAGCCAGTCTTCAAAATATGACAGCCATAAAAGAAACCACTACTTATAGCCAAGTCCCACACCTTTTATTCTCCTAGTCATTTCAGCAAACACCTTAGCTACATCAATTGAATCGAAGTGGGCATCCACGAAATTATAATCCTTATACACAGCACATAACCATTCTATAAGAAATCAAGCAAAATATCTTTCTTTTTTTAATACACAAAATAGAATTGGGTCAGTTGCTGTTAATGAAGGTGACAAAAAACCTACGGCTTTCTCATCACATTTAAAACAGTCATTTGGGTTTCCTACAACAGATGATTCAGTCCATATGCATGCAATCACAACTTCAGAAAGTCAATGTTTATGAACAATTCCCAACATTTTTCTCATGATAAATATTAGGATTAAACAAGAAAAGTAAACTTAAAATAAGACAAGAAATAGAAAGTGAAAGAGAAGTAATGGAAACATGCCTTGTTTTGCGTGTGAAGGGAACTAGAAGGGGCTGTGATGCAATCGAAGGAGATGCCAAGCTTGGGAAAAGAAGATGCCCATGAGAGCCGAGCGGGTTTCACTGAACCACAGGGATTTGACAAAAGAGGAGGAGGAGGAGCTGATATGCAGGCCATCTTAAGTTTTTTGTTTTTGTTTGTAGGGACTTTCCTGCTGAGAGAGACAATAATATACTAAATTAACACAACACTGCACTTATGTTAAGATTTGAACCCGATACGGTACCTCGAGTGGCAATTATTCCAAACCACTAGCATTTAATCTCATTGTCGCCCTTTGTGGTGCTGGAACAGACGACCGAAACGATAAAGGCCTCGCGCTCCCAACCCTAAGTTCTTAATTCTCTACTTCAGAACCCTTGAAGGAGGCAAAATCATTTTGCGTCTATTACTCTATTAGTTTCACGAAGAAGTTTCCCACATACCAGACACAAGGGAAATTCGAAAGCGAGAGAGAAAAGAAAAAGGAGACGATGAACGCTCGGACTCTGAAATCTCCTCAATGAAACCCAGCAACAATAATAATGCTGCCAAGGTCACAAAGCCTCCTTTCGTACCAGCCAAAGACGACACCAAACCTGTGCTTCAAGACCCAGTCAGTTCTCTCTCTCTCTCTCTCTCTCTCTCTCTCTCTCTCTCCATACAATACAAACATGAAGGTTTTTCTTTTTTCGGTTTGATTTTTTAATATTTGGACTCTTTTTTTATATTTTTATATTTTGTTGTTGGTAGATACTGAGGTCTGATCCGACTGAGACAGAGGAAGCTGCGCTTCGGTTGCCTACACTTCCTATTAACAGTTCAAAAAATCCTCAACCCCAAAATGATTTGAGATGTTGGAGAATGAATGATGAAGTCTGACTGATATTAAATGGTTCAAGATTTCCCTTTATATTATATTACCTTTTCTTTTTCTTCTTATCAATGTAATATTTCTGGGTGAAAGAGCTCTTCTTAATTCCAGTGTTAATTGCCATTTAATTTTGTTGGGCAAAACGCAGAGTTTTTATTTTATTTTTATACATGTTGATTTTGCATCTTCGTTTGGTAGCATTACAATTTCAATATATATATTTTTGGTCATTTTATATTAGGATAAATTAGTAATTCAATAAATAGTTTAGTAGTAGGATGTATTTAGTTCATTTTAGAATTCGTTTAACAGCACCATATAATAATTCAACCCTCCATTTGGATAGAGGAAAATAACTTGAGATTTAGCTAAAAGTCGAAATTGAAGAGGATAAATTGATTTTCCATTGTTTGGCAACGTAAGTATGGAAATTGTTAAATGATGCGTGGAAAAAATCATGAAAATTAGATATCAAGATTTCCAAATTTAATTTTCCGCCAAAAGATACTTCATTTCACAATTTCAACTGAGCAGGAATTCGTTTTTTACAATAATTTTTGGCATTTACAAAATTCGACGTGTATAAATCTAAAAACTGAAATTATTAATTACCAAATTTTTTAAAACGATAGAGATCTAAATTTCATCATTTAAAAATTCTATGCAATTTTCAATTTCTTCATCCAAACATAAGGCAAGTGATGAAAACTAATGCCTTATTCATCTAAACAATTATAAACACCCAATGTATGGGTCCATTGAGGAATACATGCAAAAGTAAAATGAAAAATGTACAAAATCGATAAGAAAGATAGAGAAGAAACATGTCTTCTTCATTGGTCGAAGATCAAAGATTCTAATGCAACTACTACATCTCCAAGCCTTAACACTTAATGAAGGTGATGGACTGCATAATTTATGAGTATTGTCATGTCAACAAATAAGTGTGCAAAAATCGGCTCACCCTTAATGAAGTTGATAAACTGCATCGGCATTGATTAGTTCAAATCGGAAGGCCCCAAGTCTCGTAAACCTTAATCAAATCCAACATGCCCATAATAAGTTATGGCAGGCTCGAAATCAGATTTGGTAAACCCTAATCAGATCCGACAATGTTCGAATCAGGTAGAGAAGCCTAAGCCAACTCCAAAAGTATTGTCAAGATACCAAGCCCAAGTTCGTTCACAAGGAATTGGGAAGACACCAACATGTCTAGACCTCCCAACATCTCTTTAAGAAGAGGAACTAATCCTAATTGAATCGCAACATTTTTAATAAGGGAGTTTCACTAAAACATCCAAATGGGGGCTGAAATTATAAAAAAATCAAACACCCAAAACACTTTATAAACACACCCAAAACTCATCATTACACACACTCAAAACCCATTTATAAACACATCCAAAAATATACAATTGTTGATTTTGGGTGTGTTTCTATGTTTAAATAGTGTTTGAGTTTTTTTATAAATACATGTCCAGGATTGAGTTTATTTATAAATTTGTATTTTAATAAATCAGAAAATTAAAACCGACTGAAAAAAAAAAAAAAAAAAAAAAAAAAGTATTCGGGTTGGCCCGACCAAATTTACCCTTTTAAGTGACAAGAATTACCTCTCTTGTTGGCACGAGAGAGAACTTGTACACAATGAAAATGTCGTCCCCTAATGACACACGTGGCGCTAAAGCAGATCTACCCAGTGTACCCCAAAATCAGGAAGAAGACTGCTCGCATCTACCAAAAACCGAAGTGACAAATTAGCAAACAAAAACAGACTCTCTCCGTCCTCCGTGTCTGTGCTGCAAAGAGGAGGAGGAAGAAGAAGAAGAAAAGCAATGGAGGACCAACTGAAACGCTGTCGTTTCCCACAATTCGTGCTCCAACCTCCACTTTGAGAGAGAGTTGGGCTTTCAGCTTTTGCTTCGTCAAGATCCACGAGGAAGAAGAATTGGAGTGAAAACAGAGCCAAATGTTGCCGCGCAGGTTATCCGTCATTTTGGAGGCCTAGGATCCGACACGAACACTGTGACTAACGAGCTCTTGCCCACTCTCAAGGTCCAAACGGATAAGGAAGTCTACAGGCCCGGCGATCCCATTATCATCACCATAGAGATTTCGAACCCTAGCAGCAATGACGGTACGGCTTATTCGCTCTTGATCGAACGTCTGGGGTTTGAGATTAAAGGGATTGAGAAGCTCGATTCCCAGTGGTTCGCCACGCAGAAACCCACGTCTGGATCTAAACAGAGAAGAGGTAGCCAAAAACAAAAAGGAGAACACATTGAATAATTTGGTTTCTGTTTCAGTGGTTTTGGATTTATTTATTTGTTTTGTGTTTTTTTTTTTTTTTTTTTTTTTTTTTTTTTGAAACATGAAGGTGAATATGTGTTCATGGAATGCTCCACTCAAGCGCTGGTGACGAATCAGATTGTTTCCCCCGGGGGCCAGGAAATCATGTGAGGAAAATTTATGGTTTGTAAGATTGTGAATATTGTTTTAGTGTAATTTAAGATGCTTTGTTAAGTAGTTTTGAGTCGTAGGTGTTAGGATTTACATGGAGAAAGTGTCAATCTTGAACAAGTTTAGTGTTTTTGTTGTTGTTAGAGTTTCTGACTATTTTCTAAATATGCCTCGTCTTTTGACGGCCAATGCATTTCATTGATGAAACAATCAAATTTGCTTCTAATTGCTAAAGGATCTGTCTTTAGAATGGATAGTATACTGAGCTAGATGATGAAGAAGTGGGCCTTTCTTCCAAAATAGCACATTACATTCAACAATGTCACACCTCTCTTAGCCAAGAATTTAACCATGATGTTCAGAAATCATCCTCTATCTTAATCAACTGGAAACCTGGTCAAAGGATAAACCAGATGTTCAAATTAGGCTTTTGCCTTTTGTTTTCAGATGAGTGGTAACATGACCCTGATCTGTTGTTAAAAATATGAGGAATCAATTCAGCTGCATATTTTCTTTTTCATTCCAAGGAAGGATGGTGATGTCAAGCCTTTAGCTTGCCTATCTTAAGAAAGAGCTTTTGGATTGGATTTGCTTTCCGTATCGACTCCAAATTTTCTTTCTGTTAATATTCAATGTTTTCTGCAGATGTGGTGCGGTCATTCCTGGCTAGCATTATACCACCATCATATAAAGGTGCTACCATTCGCTATATGTACTATGTTAGAAGTACAATGTCTGGCCAATGGCTGATACTGGAAAATGCTCATTCTCGTGGAGAATCAATCAAAGATTTTCCTGAAATGGTTGGATTTCCTTAACTTTCTCTGATGGATGTTGACGGAAAGTTTCTCCTTTGTGATGGATTTCTGCACTGCTCTAATTTAGATTATATTTTCTGCTTCTGATGCACCATAGTTTACTTATATTTTTCTCTGATTAACAAACTTTGTCCTTTAATAAACTTTCCACGTGATGATGTTGATTTAGAAATGGGCTTGTTTGGTGTCCTTGTGTTACATCCTGTGAAGCATTCTTTGCTAAATTTGAATGGTAATTTTCGGACTGTTCACTAATCAATTATAAGAATGGACTTTTTTCAAAATATACCAAAGGCTTATATGTAGTTATCAGTATATGTGGGAATCATATACTTTTTTTCTTTTCCTCCAATTTCTTTTAAGCTTATGTTTTTATAAATTTTCATCTTTTTGGTAAATATAATGAACTTGCTTATCCGTTGTCGTCATTATCAAACATGTGCAATCAGATGCTTGCACCATAAATACAAGTGTAGAGGTGCATGTGTGTGTGTGTGAACTCCTGCTTAGGTAGATATTGGTAAAAGACCCTTGCCCTTACAGACTAGCCTCTTTCTTTGTATATTTACTGATATGTCCACATTTTGATTTCTGAACCTCATCAACTTTAATCATTCAGGAGGCTCGTGTCCCAGTACAAGTATGGGTCACTCAGAAAACCAGTGGCTTGGTGATGGAAGAAGGTCAAAGTGATGGTGAGTCTCCCTTTGGTCAGTATAATTCAGATATAGCATCTGGCTGCTAGTTTAGTGGTTTTGATCAAAACTTAACAGGGATCATAACCAAATTGTAAAATCGCATGCATCAAGCTCTCAAAATTTATTGCATTTGAGCATTCTTGTGCATCTTATGAACAAAGCAGATCATTCATCAATAGCCTGTTTGCATTTTTTTTGTACTAATTGAAAAGATAAAGTGGAGCCATTACAATAAATTTTAGCTGTCAACTTGCTGATGGGCTAGAATCAATTTGAGAAAAAAGTGAATATTCCTGTGTCAAATTTAACTGTAGGTAAGATCTCCTTTGTTTGTGTAAGAGTAATTGGTTTGTGTGTTACCCTATATGAATGCTGCAGTTCAAGTTCTACGGGGCGGCAGACATGTCCTTGAAAATTGCTCATATTTTCTTATAGTACATTTTTCGTCTTTTTCAAGTAATGATCGGCATACCTGTAAAGTATAAACATACTTGTGTTCTAAATTTAGTCTATTTTTTCAGTTTTTGCATCTTATAATTTTGAAGTATTTTCGTGTGTCTTTATTTCCAGTCATGTTAGATAATATTTTGAGACCAGCCAATTATATATTTTCAGGGATTGTTCCTTCTGTAACCATCCAAATGGATATGTATTGGAAAGAGATGGATGTGGACTCTGATTGGGTAGGCACTTAATACCACAATATCTTTTTTTATTTATATGTTCCTGGGAATTCTGTTTCTTCTTTTCAAGCATGCAGAGGCATTACAGAATTATTAAGCAATGTTTGTCTCTAGGAGTTTCAAAATAACGGACATGATCCATTTGATCCTTTATAAGGCAGAACTAATTCCTCTTACAGGTGAGAGCAAATGATACATATGATGGGGTTGAGGAAGGCTATGAAAGCTCAAGGGATGAGATCTCATCTGTTTCTTCATACAATCCCATGAAAGAAAATATAAACAGAACCTTCGGAAGTTCGCTATCCTTGCAATCAGCAAGGTCTTCGAATAAGGATAGCCCATATCTTGAAGGAGAGCGCACAAGTTTATCTTCAAATCTAGCACTCCCACAGCTCTCTGTGGCCGAAGTCTTATACGATACTGGGGCTGGTAAGTTATATGACCTAGAAAAAGCTTCAAGTCCTATATATTGAACTTCTTATCATTCTCATTTCCAAAATAGTTCCTATGTCGTTTCACCCGTTGTGTTGAGTTATTATGATATTTTTGTTTTCTTATTTTGTTCAGTTACTATTGCAATTTCTTCATAAATTCCTGTGAGAAGAACCTTGTTTTTCTATTTTCTTACAAGTTTCAGAAGATTATATTTCTAAGTCACAAGTTACTTTTGCAAACAGATCTTTCATTGCCCCTGAATTCATCTGCTATTGGCTCTCCAAGCCAGCAACAGAAACTTACAAAGCGCCTTTCTTTGGATGATGAAGCAAGGGCATCTTCTTCACCGGAATCTGGAGCTGTTGAAACATTAGCATGTAAATGAATGCACTTCTTTTCCTTCTTATATATCTCCAATGCTGTGATTTCTGTTTGTGTAGCAATAATTTTCGTGTCTCCATGAAAACTAATTTTCTGCAAATATTTTCTGCAGCAGAAGGCTTTAGTCGAGGGAGGTCATACAATATCCGGCTGGATGACCAAGTTCTGCTTAGATTTTCCCCAAAAAATTCTGATTCTAATTATTACTTCAGTGATATGGTAATTTAATTTCTCTATATATTGTCTTATGCATGATTTGCATCATTATTCTTTTTCTGTTTGTTTGGGTTGTAAACTTTTCAACATCTCTCCATGAAATAGATTGGTGGGACTCTTACTTTCTTTCATGAAGAAGGAGCTAGAAGGTGCCTCGAGGTAGTTGAGATATCACAAGTAATTTTGAAATCATTTTCAGTGATCTGTGAAATGTATTCAGTTATCACTGCCTCATGGGAGGCTTTGTTTTTCAGGTTTCTATAACGTTGGAGACTTCGGAAACTATTAGTCGGCGATTTGTCCATCCTTCTCGGAAGAATTCCCCCACAATTACAAAGGTATGACCTTTTGATTTGAAACTGTCAGTCAAGTGATAAGCGCAGCAGATTGGTACCTAGAAATTATTACATCTTTCCAACCTCGATTCCGATATGTGTTTCTCAAAGTTTGAATAATAACGTAATGTTCTTGCCTTTACTGGTATTTGAATCCAAAAAATGAGGCTGTTTGAGCATGATATGGGACACAAGATACTGATATATTGAAATGGAAAATGATAAAGAGGGCATATCAGTACTAACCGCTCACTTGGGTTTTTTTAATATTATTTGTTATTGGAAATTAAAACCACCTCCAATTCACTTAAATCAGTTTCCTCAAGAAACCTAAACCATAACTAAAGTGCAACTGGACAATGAAGGTATGCGGGTTCAGACATTATTAGGTCTACACAAGGCTTTTGGCTAAAGTTACAAGGGTGAAGAGGTGTGGAGATGCCGAGTATTTGATAGTGTGTAGTACTTGGGTAGAAGAAGGGTTAAGCTGGGTTGGTTCTGATGTAGGTTAAACTTGAATAGAAGTACCTGAGGTACCAAATGTCTTTAGGAAGCTTTGGAGTTTTTGGATGCAATAGTGAAAGCTGGACTGTACCAAAGGGGGTGCTATTCTTTATTGCTTGTACTAATATAAGAAGAAAGGAAAAATAAATAAGAACCTAAGAAAATTCACATAAGAGGTGAGGAAAAAGAGTTTGGAAAGAAATTCCTGGTAATTCCATCCATATTTTCATAGCCTTTTGATAGACTGTTGGTTCTCTTTTCCATAATGGAACTAGGTCTCCTAAATGAGGAAGGCAGGCAATATGTAAGAAATAAAGCAATTACGAAAGCTTGTCTAATATACTTGGTTAGAAATTATTGCAAACCCACACAAATTCACCGTGTAAAGTTTACTCTCGGATTTTATAGAAGGATGTGTGAAACCATATAATGGGGTTGCTCTTGTTGCTCCTATGCTTGTTTATCTGTAAAACTCTGCCTCCTGCATCAATAAGCTTGTGTTACTATTTATCAAATCATGTTCTAATCCCTGCAAATTCATCTATAAAATCACATCACTCTAATTTATTAACCTTTAATTTTTTCTAGAGTAATGAAGAATTTAATATGTGAACTGAGATGAATTTAATGTGAATGCAGATGATTTTTACCGTATTCGTTTTCTGCTTGGTTGACGGATCAAATTATCTTTTGTAGATTCAGAGTGATCATTACGAGGTCGTTTCAGATTTGGTGCAGACAAGTTTTCTTTTTTCCATTCCTATGGATGGGCCTATGTCTTTTACCACTCCTCATGTATCTGTACAATGGGTCCTTCGATTTGAATTTTTTACCACTCCGAAGAATGTGGATTGGACCAGGTATATAATTATATGCATCTTCTCAACCAAATGATTAAAATGTAGCAAGAGGTTTCCATGTTAAGTTCAGGATTTGGAGTAAAATGTTCATAATTAGTTATGCAGTTCTTTGTATGGTTTCCAGATTACTGGTTGTTTGAAAATAATTGAGAAACAAGGTTACAGAAAGTGTCAATCACACATTGCTAATGAAACTTTCTGTATTTGCATCCGTTAAATGTAAGTGTACCAAAACATATGCTAACTCAGCTTTTCCCAAAACCCTAATTTTGACCTCAGGTACGAGCATCCTCTTCTGATAGAGGGAAGAGAAAAAAGTGAGTGGGTTCTCCCAATCACTGTGCACGCACCTCCAGCTGTGGGACCCACTGGTCATCCCCGAAATGAGAAGGCTCTCTTTGGAACCCTTGGGGGTGCATAATTGAAGGTAAATGAGTTATCATCTGAATTTTGAAGTGGCTTTGGAAAACCCTGATATATCATATAGCTCGATCAACATGAATATTAAATGATTGAAAATATCACAAAACAGATTTTGCTATTACATCAATATTTTGCAATATATGACTCTGGAACCACCTGTCATCATCATCATCTCCTCTCTCTCTCTCAAACGTGAAGGTTTTAGTTTTCTTTCCCATGATAATAACTGGTATCCGATTTATATGATCACCTTTACATTTTACCAGGTTTTTGTGTCACCCAGGTTGACATATTGAGCCGTTTGAAATTCAAGCTACGTCCAAATTGTGGATCAAAACCTGTTAGTCCAATTGGGGCCCTGGTGGCTCAGCCGACATCTTGTTCCTCTGGAAAAATGTCCAGTGAATGCTGATTCAAAAAGTTGAAGCACGCAACAAAGATGATGAAAGAGGGGAGTCTTAGATATGCTACACTCTGAATGTATCATAGGCTTGCACACCATATTGTGTAGCATTGGCGATTTACATTTTGATTAATTTTATTGTTTACATTCTAAAGTTTCATTGAGTTGAAACGGGTTGTACATTAAAGAGTACGCATTAATTCATTGAAATTAAAGAACAAAGAAAATTTTAAACATTTACAGGAGGCATACATCCTGTGAATGTTTAATTTAGTATACATAATTAAAATTTGCCGATGTGCTTCCAGATTCAACTCCAGACATTCCGAGTTGGTTCCCGATGGGCTCCTGTATTAAGCCCTAGCATGAGGTTGAACAACCTCATGGTATCGGCTAGATTCAGCTCCGATACGTGCCACTTCGAAGGAAATGAAAGAAAAAGAGATTGCTATGAGTATATAATAAACTCTCGATGAAAGCACCAATATGTGGGATACAAATTCCATAAGATATACGAACTCGTGCCATTTGTGACCTGAATCCTTTGAACACTGGTGTGTGGTATAAGCTAAGAAGTCTCCGATCCTTTCTTTATCCACTGTTACAAAAGTCCGAACTTGACGATTTTTCATCTTCATATACACCTAACCTATTACCCATGTGCCAACTTCATACTTGATGCTTGACATTGAGACCCCCTTCGATTCCGGCCAACATTCCTTAAAAAGGGTCCCTTGATCAACTTCAAAGGGGTAATATCGTCAAAACACTCAGCTAACCCTTATTGCAGCAACCACCGACCCACATCCATCCTCCTCATCACTCTTTCAAGTTCAACACCTCGTCACCAATGGAAATTAATGCCTCGAAGATTGGTCCTCCTGCGCTTTCGATGGGGTCCCAATTTTGTGGTCCTTTTTATTATATTTGGACAGAAAACTGCTGTGGTCCTACAGTTCAAGCTATTACGTAGACTACAGATGCTGATTCGGCATGCCCATATTTATTAGTTAGGCTCCGTGCATGTTCGAAGCCGAGATCCAATTTATTAGGCATATTCAAAGTCTATTTACTCCTTTTTTTCTTTTTGGATTGAAAATATCAGTATTTAAGAAACACACCTAAAGTCTATTTACAGTATAAGAAAGAGATTTTGAACTTCCTATAATTTACAAAATTACCATCGATTTTCTTAAAACAAGCTCAATCTCAAAACCTCACAAAAAAACCAAAAACACCAAAAACAAAAAGGTAAAACCGGAAATTAGTATATTAAGTAAACTCAAAAATAGGATAGCTGATAGTAGTAGGGATTTTTTCGAGTTTGTTTATAGAAATTAAATGATATAATGTTTATCTATAATACTAGTAATAAGAATGCATAACTAAATTTCTCTAATAAGTAACCCCTAACAAAAGCTGAGGTATGTTTAGGAGGGTATTCATGTCCTTTAGTGGGTTTAAGTTGACGTAAGAAAATTAATGTAGAGAGGTGTGTGAGTAATGTATGATTGAATTTTTTTAAAGGTAATATTGGTTTTTGGCGAATTTTTTTTTAATACAAGTCATAATCTAACTACAAGAGGGAGGAGAAGTTTCTTACACACAGAAATGATTACCAAGGTGTTATGGGGGTTTGAACATAAAATCACTAGTCTATAAGTCAATGTTTTTTTTTCACTAAGATATATAGATCCTGTGGCTTTGACGATTTTTAAAATTTTGGTTTTTTGTTTTTTTAATACAAACGACATTGAGGAAGGGAAAAATTAAACTTAAGACCTTAGAGCAAGTCTAGCAACTAAGGCTGGACTCGGGCTGGGGGGTGGTTTGGGTGAAAAAGGCGTTTCCAGCAACAAAAGGCAGCCTGGGCAGGAGGTGGGGGCTACTAGACTGGGCTGGCCCGAGGTGGAGTTCGGCTTGAGCGCGAGCCCGAGGGCTGGTGACATCATCCCTGACGCCAGCCCTTCATTGCACGCGCCAACGTTATAAAAAAAAATCAAAGCTCGTGCTACAGTAGCCACCAACGGCTAGCTTCCACGTGTCGGCGTCTTGGCTCTCCGATCTGATTTTTTTCCTTCAATCCAACGGCAGCCAATTTTTCTGCAATAATTTTTTTTTTCTATAAATACCAACCAATACTCTTCACTTTTAACACCAAAACCATTAAGTTAGTTTGCTTGCCTTTCATTTCATTGTATTTTTTGTTTTGTTTAAAAAATTAGTGGTAATTTATGTATTTTATTTTATGAGTTGTATTGATTTTCTTTTAGTAAATAAAGAAAATATTCAACAAAATTCCTTTTTATTCAAAACATTCCATACACAAAAAGCAAACCACAACCAAAGCATAAAAAATAAACAAACCACAACTAAAGCATAAAAAAAACAAAGCATAACTAAAAATACAACATAAACATAATAAATTAAAAAAAACATATTCACTTCACTTCATTCACCTTCATTGCCTTTCACCGCTCACAAATGCTCCATAAAGTCAACTTAACGGCGTTCATGAATGTACGATGATTGCATCTCCATGTAGCGTTCAATCATACGGGGCATGAAACTACCATCTCTAACCAACGGTTCATGATGCATTGGTTCTCCATTTGGCCCCATGAGTTTTTCATAAATTCGTGTTAAGGCCGTGTTCATAGGATCTGGTTCATACACTTCATCAGCATCGTAATCATACTCATCTTCCACAATCATGTTGTGGATGATGATACAAGTCATCATTATACTCCTAAGCACCTCCTCGTCAAATAGACATGTTGTGCCCCTAATAATAGCCCATCGGACTTGAAGGATACCAAAACACCTCTCCACATCTTTTATGTACCCTTCTTGATATGCAGCAAAAAAATTTGCTTATGGGATCGGGGATGTGGAATTGATTTCACAAATGTTGTCTACCTCGGGTAGATGCCATCATCTAGATAATACCCGTTCTGGTAGACGGTATTGTTGATTTCATATGTGATATTTGGGGCTTCATCTCTCAAAACATCATTGAACACTGGGGATTGACCCGGACGTTCAAATCGTTTTGAGATCCGGCAACTCCGAAGAAGGCGTGCCAAACCCATGTATCAAAACCAGCAACTGCTTCAAGGATGATACTTTTCTGCCCTTTCCTATTTCTGTAATCCCCTTTCCAAGCAGTTGGACAATTTTTCCATTACCAGTGCATGCAGTCAATGCTACCAATCATTCCAGGAAATCCACGAGACTCAGCTTTTTGTAGAAGCCGTTGCAGGTCCCTGGGCGTAGGTCTGCGCAGGTAGTCCCTGGTGTACAGAGTTTCCACTGCATCACAAAATCTCACCAAGCTCTCCAAAATAGTGGACTTCCCCATCCGGACAATCTCATCCACATGATCAGCAGATGACCCGTACGCCAACATTCGTATCACAACTGTGAACTTTTGCTCGGGAAGAAGCCCTAAATTTCCAGCACAATTTTTCTTTTGAACAAAGTATTCATCATAATTGCAAATATCATGCATGACTTTATTGAACAAATGACATTCTATATCTCGCTCGAAAATGAACATCAGAGTTCAGAGAATGTGGGATAAAATAATCTTCCAGAAGATTGTTACCCTGAGAATGTCTATGTCTGTCCACATTCGGGCCATGGCCTTCTCGTGAACCATGGCAGCTCTGGTTTTCTTCCTCCAGCAAAGCAACTGCTATGCCAAGTTGCTCATCTAGTTCTCTCAGCGCCCCTTTGCTTGCAGCTCTTCTACACATTTTTTCTCTAGTTTTTCGCTCTTGCCTCTCCAAAACCTCTTGCATGTCTGCCATTGAGAATGGAGAATGAAATCTAAAATCTGATAAATGGAAATGTAGAGAAGATCTGGTGTGGGAGATATGAGCTGAGCCTCTGGTTTTATAGAAAAATTTAGGCAGATAGATATGACACGTGGCGCAATCTTAGATGGTGAAAATCTTATCTGAAATTTGAAATTTGAAATTTATCTGAAATTTGAATTTCGAAATGTAACTGAAATTTGAATTTCGAAATGTATTTGAAATTTGAATTTCGAAATGTATATGAAATTTGACCTTTTAAATTTATCTGAATTTTGAATTTTGAAATATATATGAATTTTGAATTTTGAAACCGAAAATCTTATCCGATATGAATAGTATTGACACGTAAGAACCCAAAAATCTAATCCAAAAATATTATCAAAATTAATTGTTCAAGTAAACAAAGTTGTAAAAAAAATGAATAGTATTTGTCATGGCAAATGGCAACTGCTGGAAACACACTTTGCTGAGGGTGGCTATGACAGCCACTATTCACGTGAATAGTAGCTGCCATGGCAAGGGGCTAACCGCTGGAAATGCTCTTATAGTGCATGATATATGCTCTTAACCACTTAAGTTATTGAGTGCAAGTTCTTACCTGGAGTCGTTCTAAAAAAAAGGTAAATTTATCATTACAGTTGTATAAAAAAGTAGGTGGAGATGGTGCGTATTGACACCCTGATATTGTACAATTCATCATTTTCTTTTATCAAAATTTATGACAAACAACCAGCCATCTTCCAAAAAAAAAAAAAAAAAAAAAAAAAAAAAAAAAGAAAGCTTATATGGACTCCACAGTACCCACCTTGAAGTGTATATATATACATATATTTATACACACTCCTTCAAAGCTACACTACACAGAAACAAAGAAGAAGATGGCTTCTGTGCCTGGAATTCTTACTGATTGGCCATGGACAGCTCTTGGAAGCTTCAAGGTTCTCTCTCTCTCTCTCTCTCTCTCTCTCTCTCTCTCTCTCTCTCTCATGCCTGTACATAATATGACGTGTCGAACTGCAACCTACGTATGCATAATGCATGCGTACCTCACCACATACTTCCATTGTTTTCTTCGTCATATATATGTGAATATTTTGGTGTTCTAACTTTTATGTGGGCCTCTGGGATGTGTATGCAGTACGTGATCTTGGCTCCGTGGGTCATCCACAGCACCTGGTTGTTTGTGGCTAACGATGGAAAAGAAAGAGACATTTCATACTTCCTCATACTTGCGGTTGTGTTATGGAGGATTCTCCACAACCAGATATGGATCTCTCTGTCTCGATACCGAACTGCCAAAGGCAATGGCCGGATCCTTGACAAGGGTCTAGAATTCGAACAGGTCGACAGAGAAAACAATTGGTTAGTACAAATTAATTAATAAATATAAACGCATGTATAATAACTTAAAAGGTGGTTAAACAATTAGTTATGAGCATTTATCCTTGCATCGAGGTGCTAGATTCGATTCCCTCATCCCGAATATCTCGCTTGTATTAAAATAATAATAATAATGAGCTTGCTAAACAAATATTTATTTAATTAATTTGTTTGGCTTTGGACTGCAGGGATGACCAAATATTGTTCAATGCACTCCTATTCTACACAGGGAGCAGGTACCTGCCTGGTGGTCAACACTCACCGTTTTGGAGGGCAGAGGGACTTCTTTTAACCATTGTGCTTCATGCTGGTCCTGTGGAGTTCCTGTATTATTGGTTTCACAGAGCACTTCACCATCATTACCTCTACTCTCGCTACCATTCTCATCACCATTCCTCAATCGTTACTCAGCCAATTACTTGTAAGAACAAAAAAACTATCTAAATGTTTAATTACATTGATTTATTTGTATTAAATATTACTTAATATTTAATATATGTTTAATTTGTTGCAGCTGTGATTCATCCATTTGCAGAGCATGTAGTATATTCTGCGCTCTTCTTTATACCAATTTTGGGAACTATGTTGACGAGAACACTGTCTGTGGTATCTTTTACTGCTTATATTACTTACATCGACTTCATGAACAACATGGGGCACTGCAATTTCGAGCTCATTCCAAACTGGCTCTTTTCTCTATTTCCTCCTCTCAAGTATCTTATGTATACACCCTCGTAAGTCTCTCTCTCTCTCGAAATTATTATGTATACTGTAAACACTATTGAAGAGTTCAATTTACAACGTTCAAACAAAGAAACAAACAAACAAACAAAACCTTACCCTATTAGGAGAGAATTCCAATTGAGCTAGGTTTCGTGGTTGTGAAATTCTAAAATCACTTAACTTTCTCATCTTCAACTGGGGCAGCCAGGGGCACAACATGCCTTGTTGTGCCTCATCTGGGTTTCGTCATTTACTTGATACAAGTGGTTTTTATTTTTTGTTTATGACATATTAATTTAACAAAATTATTTTTGAATTTGTTTATAATTGATGTAGCAACTTAATTCTGTGCAGGTACCACTCCTTGCATCACACACAATTCCGAACCAATTACTCACTTTTCATGCCAATCTACGACCATATATATAGAACCATGGACAAATCTTTGGATGCTCTCTACGAAACTTCACTCAAGAGAGAGGAAGAAACACCAGATGTCCTTCATCTAACCCATCTAACAACACCTGAGTCCATCTATCATCTACCACTAGGATTTGCTTCCCTGGCCTCTAGGCCCTACACATCAAACTGGTACCTGTGGTTGATGTGGCCTGTGACATTGTGGTCTATGATTTTAACTTGGATCTATGGCCGTACATTTGTGGTTGACAGGCACCGTTTTGATAATCTCAAATTACAGACTTGGGTGATACCAAAGTACAGTTTGCAAGTGAGACCAATTTCTTCTTTAAATTATCGCTTGTATTAAAAAAAACAAAAAACAAAAAACAGAGGTTTCAAACTTGCACTTTAATAAACCATATTCGGTAAAGAAAAAGAATTATTACTGATATTATATTGGTTGCACTTTTATTTAACTTAAACCTTAATGCAGTACTACATGCAATGGCAAAATGAACCTATCAACAGACTGATTGAGGAAGCCATAATTCAAGCAGAGGAAAAGGGTGTCAAAGTCTTATGTCTGGGTCTCTTAAATCAGGCAAGTCTGTTTTTTTTCTTCCCTTTTACTTTCAAGGTAAATTATCTGAGCTCAAATCCACTTCTAAGTTAACCAAGTTTTTAATGGTCCATGGTATATGTATGTATGTATGTATGTATGGATGCATGTAGTGGGTACTGTAGGCTCATTTAAGACTCAAGTAGCTAGCTCTACTGCTCTAGCCGATCTTGGTTTCCCACCCATAAATGCCAATCAGTATAGTTGGTAATGAAATAAACTGCCTGAACAGATTGACCAGAAAAAACCTGCAACATTTTTAATTATGATGATTAAAATTAAAGATACAATATGAATATTATTATATTACAAATCCATCGATTTAGAATACATGCTAAAGTACATCGGTTTATGCAGGGTGAGCAGCTGAATAGATATGGTGGTCTGTATGTTCACAGGCATCCTAATCTCAAAATAAGGGTTGTGGATGGAAGTAGCTTAGCTGTGGCCATAACCCTAAACACCATTCCAAAAGGGACCACCCAAGTTCTTCTTAGAGGCAACCTCACAAAGGTTGCTTACGCCATTGCTTTTGCTTTGTGCCAGAAGGGTATCCAGGTAAATATATATATATATATATATATATGTATCGAATTTTATGTTTCACATGACTCTAGCTCGCCTTTAAGAGTAGATAAATCTTATGTAAGACGATCGTACCATGTCGTCATCATACGGATCGGTGTTGCATCTAATCACTTGTCTTTGAATTGCCTTTATTTTAGGTAGTTACATTACACAAGGATGAGTATTTGAAGCTCACCAAATCATTCAGTAGCACTGAAAGTAGCTTGGTTCTTGCAAAAAGCTACGCACATAAGGTATCAATTACCTGCTACAAATTTTAATGTTTCAATACCATTTATCATCTATAAGTTCTGTTCTGATTTTGGATACTTGATTATGATATTAAAATTGTTTATGTAATGTGCAGATTTGGTTAGTGGGTGATGGATTGAGTGAAGAAGAACAGCTGAGAGCACCAAAGGAACATTATTTATTCCCTTCTCCCACTTCCCACCAAAAAAACTGCGCAAAGATTGCTTCTACCACTACCCACCAGCAATGAAGACTCCCACATCTCTTGAGAATATTCATGCTTGTGAGGTAATTAAGCAATTATTTTATTTTTCTTGTTATTAATTAGTAAATTAGGACTGGTATATAAATACATAAATATATATATATACAGTCTCTTTATATTGAGGGACGCCCTTTAGGATACTCTATGATTTTTTTTTTCAACAATCCAAATCATCTATTTTGTAGGTCTTCATTCATAGATCATCCATGAAAAAATATTAGACAAATTGGAAACCGTTTAGATATCTAATTGTATCCTACAAAATTATTGAACACGATGTTGCAAAAAAGTACTAAAATTTCAATAATTTAATTGAGTTGTTAAATGATATCGGATTCAAGTGATTTTTTGTAGAGATGATTTTTGAATGAATATCTACAAAATAGATGAGTTGGATTAGTGAAATTTAATGCAGAGTATGCCCTACAAAGATGTCCCTTAAATAAACTTATTTGAAGAATCTGAAAGCTTTCTATATAATATTTATGTTATTAATTTGCCTTGTTCATTATGTTATGAACAGAATTGGTTGCCAAGAAGGGTGATGAGTGCATGGCGCATAGCAGGCATAGTGCATGCCTTGGAAGGTTGGAAGGAGCATGAGTGTGGCTACACAATGTCCAATATTGACAAAGTTTGGCAAGCAACTCTTCAACATGGCTTTCAGCCTCTCATAACTTCTACAACTAATCACACCAAAAATTAGTCGATCGCCTTCATCAAAACATTAATTAATTACATGCACCCTCTTCTTTATTATATGCAATCCATTGGTTTTCTTTTCTTCCCAAAACTAATCCATTGTTTCAGTAGGTTTTTAATTATGTGACTCTATTATTATGGCTTTTATTATCATGTTGTTTAATTATGGGATATCACTTTTATTGAAGTACCATTCATCCCAAAAATATGGTTTTGTGGGAGGATATAGTTCTGCTTTGGCTGACTTCCATTGTTCATTGATGATTTGTAGAATGGATCCGAATTCCCTACTCGGATTTTCTTTGTCATGATCTTCTTGACATAGAATCTGAATTCCTCTATTTTCGTGACGGAATTTTCCCTAATTGAATATTTTCAAGACAAGATTTTAAGACCACAGTTTTTTTTAATTCAATGAAGTAAAGTTTTTTTTTAATAAAAAAAAGAAAGTACACACACACAAAAAAAAAAAAAAAAAAAAGTTGTTCGGTGGAGAGACAGGAAGCTGGTTCAAAATTAAGTTTAAGCCGACATATCTTCTCACCAATTTATAAGAGTTTGGTATGGTGAAGGAACTTTATTCAATAAGGGAGCAGGACATCCGTGTCAAAAAGTACGATATTCAAGTCTTGTTTTGAAAAACAGCGTATGTGAAAAGGACGAGGCACATTTAGGTAATGTCATGCATCCATCCATGTGACTTAATTTCATCACAAAAGGACGAGACATGATTGTTTGGCGAGATTGCAGTTCAAGTATTTCTTAAGAGTTAGTTGGGGGTTCAGTTCAGGTCACTTATCAGAACCCCTCAATGGCATCATGTATTGATGCAATTTACTAATAATATATGTTATATATATATATATATATTATATGTATATTATAATACAAAATATATGGGTACATTATAATAATAATATATGTTAAGATTATTACAATATAATATATATGGATGTTATACATTGGTTAGTCTAAGCGAATCTTGTGTAACAAACGAACACTTAATTTTTACATTTTTTTTTTTAAAATTGTAACAACAACAGAAGCAACAGTAAAAGATTAAAATAAAGGTATACACATGTATATCTATATTGTTTTTTTGATTTTTTACCTTTTTACCTTTTACCTTTTTTTTTTTTTTTTTTTGGTAACAACACCAACAACAGAAAGAGAAAATGAAAGCATGTGTATATCAATAATTTTATTTTGACCTAGTAGCAGTATATATACGCCCCTCTCACTCTAAATTTCAATCTATAACTTGTTTCATGGTGCTGATTAATTACATAATATATATATAGGAGGGTGATGATTGATTCATATACTTTATATATATATATATGTATTTATATTTATACTATACACAAGTCTTTATGTAGTTAACGAACACTGAAAGAAAAACATAGTCTTTATGCCGAACATAATGGTATTTAAGTTTCTCAAATTAACATCAAAATTTGTATTGATTTGTGATTTGCATGCTAATTGATGAAGGTTTTTTTACTTTTAAAAATATTGTTGTATATCATAGTGTAAGTTTGTGTTAAATTATGTGAAGATCTCAGTTTAAGTTTCGCACAGGGCTCTCAAAATCTTAGGACTGGCCCTGAATATGCACTAGAAACAAGCTCCACCAAATACACTTTTGTTTCGCCGTGCTACACGCTGGAGTATATATACAGTTTTTATAACATTAATATATATATATAATATATAATATAAAGTTAAAAAAATTCAGAGGCCTCAAATATCGGTGGCCTTATACAGTGGCACCACTTGCACCATGCCAGGGCCACCCCTGAATTTATGATCATCGCAATGGAAGTCTCAGAGTTAAGAGGATACTTTCCCTAGAAAAAAATTCCAAAAATGAAAGACGACAAAAGATGGTGCTTATGAACAAAAGAGACCCGATTAGTTCTGCATAAGGGCAGGTAGAATTTGATTGGAATTTGGAACCATGTATCAATGCAATGAACATGGAAGCAATGGTTGCATGTGGGCAGCTTTCAGCACCTTTGGCCCTCCATCACTTCTTGTAGGCACACCACACAGTATGGACAAAAGCAGCACTGGACATGTCCTTGTTGCAAGGATTTGGATGGTAAATATTGAGCATTGTGCTGTGCCTGAAAACCTATGCATAAAGACGTACGGCGAAGACAATTGTTGCGGTTACAATGGTATTTTCCAGCTTCTTGTTGTGGTGGTTACGGAGCTTGCTATTTTGCCCATCAACCCCATTAATTTCTGCCACCCTGCGGTTTTTACTTCACCAAACTTGAATGAACAGATCTCTTCTCACTTTTTCTTGCTTTGTTCCAATGGAGGGGAGTGGTTTTTTGGTTGATCTTCATATCAAATATTTAAGGGTGCAAGCAATATTGAGTTTAGATCTACACGTTGTTAGATATATCTCCATCAACCATTAAAAAAATATATAAAGAAGACTTCGTTCTTTGATTGAAGCAATAGGAACATATATACCAACTTCTATCGCATTTTTTTTAATAAAAAAAAAAAAAAAAAAAAAACCACTCTCTACGGTTGTCAATACTTTAGCACTTAGCTTATCATTTGATGAAGGAAAATGTTGCTTGCTTTATGTAAATTCTACTCAGACATGTTCGTAGATTTTGTTGGAAAATAAATTTATATGGGCAATGTTGGATTTACCAACATTAGAAAGACAATTTTTACGATCAAATCGTAAAATTTCAAAAACTCATAAGGGTGTGATTAAAACTATAATGAGTGTGGGTATAAGAACTTCAAATACATACTCAGTATTTAGCAGAAATAGTAGGTGGATCTTAAAATGTTGGATTTACCGAGACATATTACTACAATTTTGTGAGTAGGGAAAAACGAATCTACTTGGAGCATGGGATGCTCAAAGCTTGATTAATTTTTTCAAGCACAAGCAAGTTGTAGATCCAATGTTCTTTTACACAGTGGAAGTAGATCAAGAAAACCAAGTGATAAACTTTTTTTATTTTTTTTAATTTTTAGGGATGGAAGGTCCAGATTATGAGTGCTTTGGGGACATGATGGTATTTGATACTACATATTGAACAAACGAGCAAATGGTATGCGATCACGAGAGTTGGAAGAAACTTTTTGCTGCAATAAGGGATTACCTTCCAGAGATGCCAAAAAAAGTGAACTTCTACATGTTGCTAATGCCTACACGAGAAAAAATTTAAAATTATTTGAGACTAAGGTTCTTGATAGTTTAGTAGTAAGAATGTGGAACACTCCAAACCTTTGAGCTTAATGAGGAGGGTCGCAAAAGCGTGCATGTTGTCCAATTCAACTCTTTAAATTTCAATGTCTTATGTAGTTGCAAGATGTTTGAATCCATGGGTTTGTTATGTCGTCATTCTCTAAGGATATTGAATGTAAAAGAGGGTCCTAAAATATCATCTCAATACATATTGAAACGGTGGACAAAAGAAGCAAAGGACGGGATGCAAATGAGCATGTGGAGAATCTCTACAACTAAGTGATATATAAATCACTAGTGACTTTGCGTCGAAATAGTTTGATGCGAATGGTTTATGATATATTGAGTAAGAGAGCAGAGACAGATAACACTCATAGAATTGCAAAACAAAAATGGAAAGAAATGGAATAATTGATTGAAAAAGACAGGCTGATTTCTAATTAGTTCAAACTTCTAAAGTTCCAATGAAGAAAGTAATGAGGTTTTGAAAGATAATACTCTTGTGAACACTAATAGAGATAAGGATTTGTTTGATAAGACATTGGTGTTAGATCCCTTATGTGTGAGGCCAAAATGGATAACTAACGCCATATTAAAGCCTAATTTTGGAATTTTTTTCATTTGTTATCATTCCATGAATCTCTTCTAATTCATTATTAATTATTAATTATAAGAATAATTATTGTTATTATTTACTTCTGTAGAAAAAATTAAACCACCAAAAAAAGAGGTTCTTCACAAACCTCACTTCACGCACCCAATGACTCAAGTATGAAATTACCCTTAACTAATGGTCATGCGGCCGGTACACCAGCCATGGTCATTCGTCGGGCCCATATTTATTACCCCAAAATTTCTCATCAGGTAAACCGCACATGCTGATTCGTCGCCCCCATTGTTATTAGTTAGGCACCGGTGCACATGCTGGTCCAATTTATTAGGCATGCATATGTGCACTTTTTTTGGGGGCCTTGGTAAAGCCCCCTACTAGTATACCCTTCCTTGATTGTCGGATATTTTTGGGTAATTCTTGGTGCTCTTTTTCTTTCCACTTCTCCTCACAATAAAGATTGCATTTGGGCTTTAATTAAGAACAAAAAAGAGGTTGGTATCAGTTTTGGGGGTTGAAGTTGAAAATTTGATGATGTCCTTGGTTTTAGGGGTTTAATTTTGAATGTAAGGATTTAATTTGTAGGCGATGGGTAGAGAAGGTGGGTGACTCTAGACTTTAGCAGGGTTAAGTTGATGTAAGAAAATTAATGTAGAGAGGTGTGTGAGTAATGTATGATTGTTTTTTATTTGGAGGTAATATTTGTTTTTGGAAAATTTCTTTTTAATACTAGCGATAATCTAAACTACAAAAGGGAGGGGAGTTTCTCTCTCACACACACTACTAATGTGTCATAGGGGTTTAAACCTGAGACCATTGATCTGCAAGTCAAAGCCCTTTTTCACTAATTGGTACTTTCCCGTTCTCTTTGACCATTTTTTTTTATTTTAAAAATTTTATACAAGCGACATTGACGAAGGAAAATCAAACTTAGGACCTGATATATGTGCTCTTAACCATTTGAGTTGTTGTTTTTGGAAAAAATTTAGTGTAAGTTCTTTCCTTGAGTCATTCTATAAAAAAAGGAAATTTATCATTACAGTTGTATAAAAAAGTAGGTGGACATGGTGAGTATTGTCACCCTGATATTGTATAATTCATCACTTTCTTTATCAAAATTTATAACAAACAACCAGCCATCTTCCCATTAAAAGAAAAAAAAATGCTTATATGGACTCTACAGTACCTACCTTGAAGTATATATATATGTATCATATACTCCTTCAAAGCTATACTACAAAGAAACAAAGAAGAATATGGCTTCTGTGCCTGGAATTCTTACTGAGTGGCCATGGAAACCTCTTGGAAGCCTCAAGGTTCTCTCTCTCTTTCTCTCTCTCTCTTGTTCATGCCTGTATATTATATGACATGTCGAACTGCAAGCTACGTATACATGCCATACCTCAATACTTCCATTGTTTTCTGTCCAGCTTCATTATATATATATACGTGCATATTTTGGTGTTCTAACTTTTATATGTGCCTGGGATATATATGCATGCAGTACGTGATCTTGGCTCCATGGATCATCCACAGCACCTGGTTGTTTGTGGCTAACGATGCAAAAGAAAGAGACGTTTCATACTTCCTCCTGCTTGGAGTGGTGTTGTGGAGGATCATCCACAACCAGATATGGATCTCTCTGTCTCGATATCGAACTGCCAAAGGCAATGGCCGAATCCTTGACAGGGGTCTCGAATTCGAACAGGTCGACAGAGAAAACAATTGGTCAGTATAAATTAATAAACATTAAAAAACATGTATAATATATAACTCATGAGGTGGCTAAACAATTGGTCAATTGGTTGAGTATTTACCCATGCATTCGAGTTCTTATGTTCGATTCCCCTTATTTCTAATATCGCTTGTATAAAAGAAAAAAAAGGTGACTAAACAAATACTTATTTATTTAATTTGTTTGGGTTTGGAGTGCAGGGATGACCAGATATTGTTCAATGCACTCCTATTCTACACAGGCAGCAGGCACCTGCCCGGGGCTCAAAAGCTGCCACTTTGGAGGGCACATGGAGTTCTTCTAAGCATTGTGCTTCATGCTGGTCCAGTGGAGTTCCTGTATTATTGGTTTCACAGAGCACTTCACCATCATTACCTCTACTCTCGCTACCATTCTCATCACCATTCCTCAATTGTTACTCAGCCAATTACTTGTAAGAACCAAATAATAAATAAAATTAATTAAATGTTTAATTACACTAATTTTTTATTATTAAGAATTTTACTTACTTAAATTCATCATTTAATATATGTTTAATTTGTTGCAGCTGTGATTCATCCATTTGCAGAGCATGTAGTATATTCTGCGCTCTTCTTCATACCAATTTTGGGAACTATGTTGACGAGAACACTGTCTGTGGTATCTTTTACTGCTTATATTACTTACATTGACTTCATGAACAACATGGGGCACTGCAATTTCGAGCTCATTCCGAACTGGCTCTTTTCTCTATTTCCTCCTCTTAAGTATTTTATGTATACACCCTCGTAAGTCTCAACCTCTCTCTCTCTCTCTCTCTCTCTCTCTCTCTCTCTCTCTCTCTCTCTCTCTCAATTATTGTATAATACTGAAATACGGAAATTACTGTACTCCTAAGTATATCTAATTCAAAACCTTCAAACAAACAAACAAAAAACTTAAATCCTTAACCTATTAGTGGAGAAGGACTAAGGTTGTCTATTTCAAAGTGAGCTTCTTAAGTGGGACCAAGGTGAGCTAGGTTTGGTGGTTGTGATATAAAATTGAAGTATCAACCCGAAACCTTAAACTGTTAGGTGGAAAGACGAAATAAATGTTCAATTTGGGGAGCTAAGTGGGTCCAAGGTGAAATAAGTTAATTGCAAACATATTAATTCAACAAAATTATTTTTTAATTCGTTTATAATTGATGTAGCAACTTAATTCTGTGCAGGTACCACTCCTTGCATCACACACAATTCAGAACCAATTACTCACTTTTTATGCCAATCTACGACTACATATATGAAACCATGGACAAATCTTCAGATGCTCTCTACGAAACTTCACTCAAGAGAGAGGAAGAAACGCCAGATGTCCTTCATCTAACCCATCTGACAACACCTGAGTCCATCTATCATCTACCGCTAGGATTTGCTTCCTTGGCCTCCCGGCCCCACACATCAAAATGGTACCTATGGCTGATGTGGCCTGTTACATTGTGGTCTATGATTCTAACTTGGATCTATGGCCGTACATTTGTGGTTGAGAGGCAACGTTTTGATAATCTCAGATTACAAACTTGGGCTATACCAAAGTACAATTTGCAAGTGAGATCAATTTCTTCTATAGATTATCGCTTGTATTAAAAAAAATAGAGAGATTTCAAACTTGCACTTTAATAAACCATATTCGGTAAAGAAAAAGAATTTTACTGATATTGGTTGCACTTTTATTTAATTTATACCTTAATGCAGTACTACTTGCAATGGCAAAATGAAGCTATCAACAGTCTGATTGAGGAAGCCATAATTCAAGCAGAGGAAAAGGGTGTTAAAGTTTTATGTCTGGGTCTCTTAAATCAGGCAAGTCTGTTGTTTCTATTCCCTTTTACTTTCAAGGTAAATTATTTGAGCTCAAATTCACTTTTAAGTTAACCAAGTTATTACGGTCCATGGTATATGTATGTATGTATGTATGTATGTATGTATGTATGTAGTGGATACTGTAAATTTATTTATGGTTTCTCACCCATAAATTGAACCAGAACAGATTGACCAGAAGAAAAGCTGCAACATTTTTAATTATGATGATTAAAATTAAAGATATAGTATGAATAATATTATATTCGAAATCCATCGAGTTAGAATACATGCTAAAGTACGTCTGTTTATGCAGGGTGAGGAGCTGAATAGATATGGCGGTCTGTATGTTCATAGGCATCCTCATCTCAAAATCAGGGTTGTGGATGGAAGTAGCTTAGCCGTGGCCATAACCCTAAACACGATTCCAAAAGGGACCACCCAAGTTCTTCTTAGAGGCAACCTCACAAAGGTTGCTTATGCCGTTGCATTTGCTTTGTGCCAGAAGGGTATCCAGGTAAATATATATGTATCGAACTTTACGTTTGTCATGACTCTATAGCTCGCATGTAAGAATAGAAATTTTTTGTGTATGACTGTCTTACCATGTCATCATCATGCTGATCCTCTTGTGTCTAATCACTTGTCTTTAAAGGTAGCTACATTACACCACGATGAGTATTTGAAGCTCGCCAAATCATTAAGTGGCATGGAAAGTGGCTTGCTTCTTGCTAAAAGTTATGCACATGAGGTAATATGCATGCTACGAATTTTGCCTTCTTCACTCTTAATGTTTCAATACATTAATTTTGTGTTCCTATTTTGGATACTTGATTATGATTTTAAAATAGTTTATCTACTTTGCAGGTTTGGTTAGTGGGAGATGGATTGAGTGAAGAAGAACAATTGAGAGCACCAAAAGGAACATTATTTGTTCCTTTCTCCCAATTCCCACCAAAAAAAATTGCGTAAAGATTGCTTCTACCATTACACTCCGGCAATGAAGACACCCACATCTCTTGAGAATGTTCATGCTTGTGAGGTAATTAAGCAATTGTTTTATTTTTTCTTGTTATTAGTTAGTAAATTATGACTGATATATATATATATATATATATTTATGTTATTAATTTGCATTGTTAATTATGTTATTAACAGAATTGGTTGCCAAGAAGGGTGATGAGTGCATGGCGCATAGCAGGCATAGTGCATGCCTTGGAAGGCTGGAAGGAGCACGAATGTGGCTACAAGATGTCCAATATTGACAAAGTTTGGCAAGCAACTCTCCAACATGGCTTTCAGCCTCTCATCATCTCTACCACTCACACCAAAAATTAGTTGGCTTCATCAAAATATTAATTACATGCACCCTCTTCTTTATTATACGTAATCCCTTATTTCTGTTGGGTTTTTAATTATGTGACTATTATTATGGCTTTTGGCTTTTATCATCATGTTGTTTATCAATTACTCAATTATGGATATCACTATTTATTATTGAAATAATATTCGTCCCAACAAAAAAACCTTAAGACAAGAGAAATATCAGCTGGTGGGGAAATTTGCATAACTTTATAGAAACTTTAATGGAGTTAGACATAAATCTTGCATTGCAACACTTTACGAAGTTTATATGGTAATGACCCACATACAAACATTCATTTAATATTTATACAACGCTTCCAAAAATAATAATAATACATATTTGAGTTGTTAGGTGGAGAGATAATGCGTTTCAAAAATACTTATCCAAAGTTTGATGGCGATTCTAATTCAAAACTTTAAGCCGACATATCTTCTTTAAATCATGAGTGTGGTTTCATGGAAGAACTTTAGTCAATAAGGGAGCAACACATCTGCGTCAAACAATACTAGCAAACAACCACAAGATCCAAAGTACAATATTCAAGTTAAGTTTATAAAACAGAGTGTATATGTGAACACATTATCGAAATTAACAGTGGAAAATCAAGTGTCATCCATCGATCTGACTTAAAATCATCATGAAAGGACGAAATTAACAGTCTCTATGGACATAAGAGCATCCACAACGGTATCAAATTTGGTACACACATTACATTATGCGATCAAGTAATATCAAACACGAAATATTGCAATTGTTGACATCACTTGTGTTGTCTGATTGTGTGATTGTGGTACAGCCTGCACTTTTATCTTGATAAACACATGTACGTGACACTGAGCTTTCGAAACCATAGCTACATCCAGTGCAAGCAATATTGAGTTTAGATCTAAACGTTGTTAGATATCTCCACCAACCAGTGCAAGCGATTTTTGATCAGTAAGTATATATTGTCGGCTGACAGATGAAATTTTTTTGGTCCAAAGATTGATATTTTATATAATTTTTTTTAAAATCCAAATGACAAAGTTAGCTTTTGAAATAAGTTTGCGCATACATTTTTTGAGATTAATTTTGTCATTTGCATAAGTTTTTTATTTATGAAATCATCAATTTTTGGATGAAACGGGTTTTGTGAAAACATCGAAAATCTTTGAGCAGACATGGAGAGAGATTGAGAGGCAAATGTGTGGCGGCGAGGAAGATAAGAGGAGAAGAAGAAACTGCTCGGAGAATAAAAGGCAGATGTGCGGCGATGTCGTCGAGGAATAGAAGAGGAGGAGAAGAAGTGATGGTTGGGAGGAAATAAAAAAAGGAAATGTGTGGCGGCGTTAGGAAGAGAAGATGAGAAAAAGAAGAAGAAGAAGAAGAAACACTAGGAGAAAAATAGAAAGGAAGAATAAGAGGAGGCGACTGGAGATAAAAGGGAGTGTTAGGGTAACCCTAACATTTTTATAATTTTTCTAAGAGTATTTTAAGGGCAATGATTTCCCCACTCCTATTTTATCCACTTACACTCCTTTTTTAGTTATAAAAAAGGAGTGTAAGTGGATAAAATAGGAGAAAAATGAGTGGGGAAATCACCCCAAAGAGTAATTAGTACAGTCGTAAACACCCTTCATTCCAGCTAGCAGGTCATGTGCTGGAGTCTCCTTGGGCGCTTAATGTTTACAATATTTGTCACGCTAAGAGCATTTCCAGCAAAGGGCCCAAGGGGAGGGTTGGGGGGGAATCCAAAATGGGGTTTCCAGCAACAAAGATCTGCCAGGGCAAGGAGTGGGGCCCAGCTACCTGGGCTGGCCTGAGGGGGAGGCTGGCCCGAGCGCCAGCCTGGGCAATCTGACGTCAGCGCGCTACAGTGCTCCCTTTGCCCAATAAAAAAATCGAAAAAAATGTAAAAAATACCCAAAAAATACTGAATTTTTTTCTATAAATACCAACCAATACTCTTCACTTTTAACACCAGCAGCCAATATTTTTGTAATAAAAAATTGAAAAAAATACCAAAAAATTACTTTTTTTTTTTTTTTTTTTTTTTTCTCTCTATTTCCATTTTCAACATTTAAGTAAATGTCTTTGTTCCTTTACTTTTATTTATTTTTATATTATTCCATTTACTTAAGTTTACAATGTAAATAAGGAAGTACCCCCCATTTGGATTCAAATAAAAATACTAGAAAATCAAATTCCCACCAAATCAAAATATGAAAAATCGGTTTTAGTGCAAAATACGATTTAGGCTAAAAATGATGGCTCATTAAGTGAATATATACTTCATATTAAAATCCCATAAAATCAAGTTTTCTTATTTGATGCGTAAGGAATAAAAGCCGCCAAAAATTATCTTAAGAAAATGATTATTCCGAAAAAACCATTTTTCATACTTAGTCAATATTGCACCTCCGCTAAAAATCTTGAGAAAATGATTTTTCATATGTAGGAACCCAAAAATCTTATTCGAAAATATTATCAAAATTAATTGTTTAAGTAAACAAAGTTGTGAAAAAAAACAAAAAAATGAATAGTATTTGCCATGGCAAGCCTAAAACTGTTGGAAACACACTTTGCTAAGGGGGGGGTAGGGCAGCCACTATTCACATGAATAGTAGCTGCCTTAGGGCTCCCCTTGCCATGGCAAGGGGCTAACTGGTGGAAGTGCTCTAAGTGGTAGGTCGGTTTGATTCAGCAAACCGGAAGTTTGGGAGATGGTGAATTGGCGACCGGATCGAGTCATAGCGGTTCAATTCAAGTTAATGACCAAAATAAAAAATTAAGTGAAAGATCGGTCCAATTTGATTAGTTTATCAGTTAATCAGTCTAAAATTCTAGCCCTAACCACAGACGCCCTTAATTTGCTTATAGTCTCAAATACATTTATCAAAATGGGGAAATTGAAACGCCATATGATTGAGCCCACCAAAAACATTACAAGTAAAATCTTTGGTTCACCAACCCTTAAGGCCTCGTTTTCTAGGCTGGCCTGAACTGGTTAATATTGACTTGTAAGTATTGGATTGGATTGGCTGGGATTTTAAGTCCAGTGCAGTTCACTTTTGCACCAAACAATGGACTGGAACCAAATGAAATTTTTTTAACTTTTTGGCAGAGATTGAAGAAAGAGGCCCAACTTTTTACAAGAAATATGAACCACCCAATAACAAGAGCTGCCATTGTTGCCGATTGTAGCCTCTGAGTAATAACAATTCCCAGTTTTGAGACAAGGAAAAAACAAAAAATATCACAATACCAAACCGAAAAGAGAACCCATGGCATCGAATCCAAACTGAAATTTATATCAAGATCTAACCATTACCCAATCTCATATCAAGATAATAATAAATATCAATTTTATATAAAAAACAGAAAATTCGATGCAAAAATCACAACAGTACAGACGATGCAAGGAGAGAGAGGAGAGGAGAGGAGAGAGGAGAGAGAGGATAGAAGAGAGAAGAAGGCAAACCACTAGATAACAGAGTACAGACGATGAGAAGGAGGCAGAGGGAGACGAGGAGCTCAGATTCATTGTGAACCCATGTCTATTAATGGGTTTGGAGTCCCTTGTTATTCTGGATTGGTGTCCAAGAGCCATGTCCAGTTCATAATGTATTTTAAGCCCACCAAACTGGACCTTTGTTAATTTTAATTGAATATATCCAGTCCAGTCCAGCCCATCAAACATGACCTAAGCTTAAACCCCGAGTCCCCAAGGCCCATACCTCCCTAACCTTGGAAGCTAGCTTATCTTATATGCCCCCGATGATTTCGACCAAAAATATATGTCCCCGATGAAATATGAGATCGATCATACTATAAAATTCAATCCCTTAAATTAGAATCTGAAATAATAAAGATGGGGAAAAAAAAATTATATTCAACCTCTTGAATTTATTGATCCTCTACCAAGGGTAATCTCAGATGAGTTGCAGAGGATTACACATTTTCCCTAGAAAAATTTCTAAAAATGAAAGAGAACAAAAGATGGAAACGGAGGAGACGAAGTTGGTGCGTATGAACAAACGAGGCCTGATTAGTTCTGCATAAGGGGCAGGTAGAATGCGATTGGAACCATGTATCAATGCAATGAACATGGAAGCAATGGTTGCATATGGGCAGCTTTCGGCACCTTTGGCCCTTCATCACTTCTTGGAGGCACACCACACAGTATGGGACGAAAGCAGCACTGGACATGTCCTTGTTGCGAGGATTTGGATGGTAAATATTGAGCATTGTGCTGTGCCTGAAAACTTTTGCATAAAGACGGACGGCGAAGACGATTGTTGCGGTGACAATGGTATTTTTCCAGCTGCCTGTTGTGGTGGTTATGGAGCTTGCTATTTTGCCCATCATCCCCATTAATTTCTGTCACCTATGGTTTTTACTTCACCAAAATTGAATGAACAGATTCTCTTCTCTCTTTTTCTTGCTTTGTTCCAATGGAGGGGAGTGGTTGTTGGTTGATCTTCATATAAAATATTTAAGGATGCAAGCATTATTGAGTTTAGATCTAAACGTGTTAGATATCTCCACCAACCAATTAAAAAAAGAATTGTATTGTATAAAAAGAGTAGATTTGGTTATTGATTGAAGGAATAGGAACATATAGCTTCATGCTTTGATGAAGGAAACTGTTGCTTTATGTAAATTCTACTCAGACAAGTTCGTAGACTTGATTTTTTGTGGGAAATAAATTTATATGGAAAATGTATGATTTTGGAACTTAATATTTTGAGTTAGGTTTACAGCTCGTATTGTTCAGCGGAGTTTATGCGCATAGGCTTTAGGAATTAGGGCTTTAGCCCAAGTTTTAATAGACCAATAAACCAGAAACCATTTGTCCATAAGGATATCTAAAGTGAAATAAATAATAGAAAACACAAATTATTTGATTGACATTGTTGCAATTCACATTGAATTAGTGTTTAAACGATTTTAGGCCTCATTATCTATTGTCTATTGGTTTTGGATTTGGTACTCATATTCTAATATGATATTAGGGTATGCTATACACATCGAAGGGTCAATGGTCTCACATACTTCCATGTCACTTAATAATAATTATCCACATTTAGTCCAAATCGATGATGCATGACACTTTGATTTTTCCCTATTAAATACGAGAAACACTTATGTAAAACGAGGATGGCACTATTTTGCTATCTTCGACCAATTGCGACATATCACGATGATAACTTTTCTACGTGATAGTATATGATTGGTTGGGAATAGCAAAACAATGTTATTCATATTTCATACAAAGTTTTCTGTTTAAATACACTCTGTTTTCAAAATATGACTTGAAATATTGTACTATGTGTCTTGTGCTTATTTTGTTAGTATTGTTTGACTTAGAACTAATGAGTTTCATTATTAAAAATAATAATAATAAAAAAATTAGAACTAATGTGTTAAATTGATAATAATTCATCAGCAGATGTAGTGGAGAAAGCCTCCAAATGCAAAAAAAAAAACTTACTTGTAACGGGGATATCACTGTTTTGTTATCCCCAACCAATAACATAATGACATGTGGAAAAGTTATCCGATGTGTCATTATGTTATTGATCGGGAATAACAAAAAGTGTTTTCCCCATTGCTTGAGAACTTTTCTTCCCCGTATGACATATAAAATTAATGTATATGATGTTGTCAAGCAACATGACCATGTTAGGGGTCTAGGGGTGTTGATCAGGGACTCTCATGAGGAATTAGTTAATGCTGCTTCAAAACCAATGGTGGGCAATTTTTTTGCCAAAAGTGACGGAGCTGTATGCAGTGTGCTTTGGATTGCAACTAGCAGTAGATTTGGGTCTCCATTCCTTTTTCTTCTTTTTTTTGGTCGAAGTTGCAATTCATTGCAAACCCCCAAAGGGGTAGAAAACAATACAAACAAAGCCGAGCAAAAGCACTAGCTAGAAAACTAACAGAAAACAAACATGAACAAATCTAGCTAAAACAAGTACAGTATAGCATGAAGATCATGTTCCCGAGCCAAAAACAAAAAGGCATTTAGCCCACATAAAGGCATATAGCCCACAAAGAGGCATTACGCCCACATTAAGCATAAAGCCCACATTAAATATAAAATAAAACGCAAGAAATCTAGCTGCCACAATCAAAGAGAAACTCCACGACTGTAGATGGACAAACCACCCATCACCACTATCACTATGAAGAACCAAACACCCCTAGGTCATCAACAAACCAAGCCAAAATCCCTCAAAACATAGTCCACCAGAAATTCACTAACAGATCCAAAATTAATTCAACCAATACATCCAAAAGACAACATCCAACAAAAAAAGAATGAGAAAACTCATTCCATAGCCAAGAGGAAAAGAGCCAAGAACCTGGAAGGAGGTGGTGCAAGCACTCGAGCTAGAGCTCTACACACCTTCCAATAAATACGCGCCAAAACGCGTTTAAAATTTGCAGCTACAACCCAAGGATAAGGCCAGGTCAATGGGGAGGTCCAGGAATCCAGATAAGCAATGGATTTTTTGTCAATATGGAGCAAGACCTGCAGGGTAAAGATGGCGGTGATAGGGGAAATCATGCCCATGGTCTTCATCCCACCAAATTGGAAAAATGGTAAGAAAGAGATAAGTGAGATTCAAGGAGGAAGGAGGAAGATGAGGGGAGGGTAGGAGGGGCAGAACACCCCCCCCCCCCCCCCCCCCCCCCCCCCCCCCCCCCAAGATGCGACGAAAAGGGTGGGGATCTTTTGTTTCTCTACTAGGGTTAGAGAGAGATGCGGAGCACAAATAATGCTATTTAGACACACGGTCTCCATTCTATTGTTCTTGAATATGATGTGCAGGAGGTTGTCAAATGAATAATAAAACAAAAAGATCTAAATTTGGCCAATGAAGGTGTGTTGTTTAAGGACATTCGTTCTCTTTTGAATCAATTCACCAACTGTATGTGCTAGTATGAACCCCGTACTTGTAATCGTGCAGCGTATGCGCTAGCAAAGTTTGCTTTATCTTGTTCAAAGTTAGTTGTTTGGATGGAAGATGGTTATGTTTAGATGTCTTCTATTTTGCATGATGATGTAAGGTTTGTTAGATTTCTTTAATACATGTTCAAGATCTTTACACAATTTGAAATACGTAAAGACATAAAGACATACATGGGCCCATCTTCCTTGAGTACACGACCTCTGAACTCATCCAATCTGTAGCAGCAGCAGCAATCCGTAGCAGAACAGGAATGGCTCAAGACTTCTGCTCTTTCTTAGAATCTGTTTCAGCTTTCTCTTTATGATGAGAATAGGGTTAGAGAACGTGTCTGATGAGAGCAGGACTTTAAGCTTATATAGGGCTAGGTCAAGTCATCTCTACTCATTACCGAGAGCCGACTTGACTAATCTTCCAAGCCCACCTAATCAGTTCACGCAAAAAAGGAAATAAATAGGATCACTTAATAGGCTTCGAAACCCTTCCTTATTCCACAAGGTTTTGGGCTTCAAAGTATAACTTAATTTAAACTCTTATCAAAACTTGATATAACTTAGTATCTAGTGCACCGATCTAAATAGAAAAACATAACAATATTTTCTTAATTAATACAAATTATGAGCTTCCTATTAAAATATATATATAATAAAATATTTCAATTGTCGTATCCTCCCCTTACCACGCAACATAGATTGTTGTTTTTAATTAATTTCAAGAAATATATAAAATATATTATGTAAATTATAGGCGTGCATATGTCTTGATTAATTTACTATTTATCCAACAACAATTTTTGGTTCCAATTCTCTCTATCTATCTTTGGTTCCAATTCTCTCTATCTATCTTTGGTTCCGATTCTCTAATCGACTTTCAAATCATGAATCCGCCACTATTAAAATAAATACTACTTCAATAAATAGTGATATCCACAATAGAGTAACTGATACACACCATGATAATAAAAGCCATGATAATAGAGTCACATAATTTTAAATAAGGGATTACTTATAATAAAGTAGAGGGTGCATGTCATTAATATTTTGATGAAGCCAACTAATTTTTGGTGTGGGTGGTAGAGATCATGAGAGGCTGAAAGCCATGTTGGAGAGTTGCTTGCCAAACTTTGTCAATATTAGACATGTTGTAACCACACTCATGCTCCTTCCAGCCTTCCAAGGCATGCACTATGCCTGCTATGCGCCATGCACTCATCACCCTTCTTGGCAACCAATTCTGTTAATAACATAATTAACAATGCAAATTAATAACATAAAAATATATTTAATAATTAATAACAAGAAAAAAAAAATTGCTTAATTACCTCACAAGCATGAACATTCTCAAGAGATGTGGGTGTCTTCATTGCCGGAGTGTAATGGTAGAAGCAGTCTTTGCGTAATTTTTTCGGTGGAAATTGGGAGAAGGGAAAAAATAATGTTCCTTTTGGTGCTCTCAGTTGTTCTTCTTCACTCAATCCATCTCCCACTAACCAAATCTGCAAATTCAATTAATTAGTACATTTTTAATATCATTCTTAAGTGTCCAAACATATTGAAAGAACAATATAGCAAAATAGGATTGAAGCAGGTAAAATTTGTAGCAGATAATTGATACCTTTTGGGCATAACTTCTTGCAAGGACCAAACGACTCTCAGTGACATTTAATGATTTTGTGAGCTTCAAATACTCGGTCTGGTCCAATGTAGCTACCTGAAATTATCGCAATTTATGTTAGGAAATGGGAAAAAACATCGTCTCCTAGATGATTAGACCCAACATGTCAGAGTGGTTCTGGCACCAGATCTTTTATGTCACCTCTATGATATTATATATAATATATAGAGAACTTATAATTAAAATTAATGCCCCTTCTAAACCAAAATCTGGCTCTAATATCAATTGATGTAGTACAACCCGTAGGTATTTGATTAAGCACTTAAACAATAGAACATAGAAGAATATAAGAGGTCAAGGAGAAGAAAATATAGATCGAATGGACAAAAGAAAGAACAGAAATTAGAGAACCGAGAAGGAAGGACAAAAATCAGAGAGTTTTAAGAGAGGGCTTATTCATGACTAAGTTTGAAATATTTAGCTCTCACATGTAACTCTTGAATACAATTAGGTGTTTGGTATAATTGTATTTTTTATTTCGGCCCCCTAATTTTACAATTCTAGCTCCGTCCCTGTTTATAGGTGATGCATAAATTTACCTGGATACCCTTCTGGCACAAAGCAAAGGCAGTGGCATAAGCAACCTTGGTGAGGTTGCCTCTCAGAAGAACTTCGGTTGTCCCTTTTGGAATGCTGTTTAAGATTATAGCCACAGCTAAGCTACTTCCATCCACCACCTTCATTTTCAGCTCAGGATGCCTGTGAACATATAGACCCCCGTATCTGTTCAGCTCCTCACCCTGCATATTTTGCAAAGTTTTATTTTAATTTTTTTATATTTTGTAACCGAAATAATTAAAAGGTTACATGTTTTTCTTATTTATCACAGCTATTGGTATAGCATTGAGAAAAATGGAAAAAAAAAAAAGAAAAAAAAAGAAAAAAAAAAGGTGCCAGAATATAGAGCTTGGCATTAATTAAGGGTGCCACAATATAAAGCTACCTTGAGTCTTTAACATTAAATATATATCTACCTCAATTCCATTATTAATCGATTCAGAAGTTATCAGAAAACAAATTAAGTAGAATTTAGGCTACATTTAGTGATTTGGAATGGACTGAATTATTTTAATTAAATTGGAAAAATGTTGTGGTCCTTGGGAACTTATAAATACTGGGAGTGGACTTATTAAATTAGGTAATAGTCCAACCTTTACCTTATAAATCTCATCTAGACGGATATGATTCATAAAAACTGACTTGAGCTCCACTCCAATTCAATCCAAACCAAACAACCAAACGAGTCCCTAATTGATTACCTGATTCAAGAGACCTAAACTTAAAACTTTGACACCCTTTTCCTCTGCTTCCAGTATGGCTTCCTCAATCAAGCCATTGATAGCTTCATTTTGCCATTGCAAGAAGTACTGCAATTAATTTATAAAACCCAAAAATAACAGATCAAATCTCATTAAAAAAAGAAAATAGCAAGTGACCTATAAATTAGAAGTAAAAAGTTCGTGATGGTCTTACTTGCAAGCTGTATTTGGGTATGGCCCAAGTTTGTAATCTTAGCTTGTCAAAACGCTGCTGCTCAACCACAAATGTACGGCCGTAGATCCAAGTAAGCATCACGGACCACAATGTCACAGGCCACATCAACCACAGGTACCAGTGTGATGTGTGGGGCTTAGAGGACAGGGAAGCAAATCCTAGCGGTAGATGATAGATGGACTCAGGTGTTGTTAGATGAGTTAGATAAAGGACATCTGGTGTTTCTTCCTTTCTCTTGAGTGAAGTTTCGTAAAGAGTATCTGAAGATTTGTCCATGGTTCCATAGATGCAGTCGTAGATTGGCATGAAGAGTGAGTAATTGGTCCTGAATTGTGTGTGATGCAAAGAGTGGAACCTGCATATGTCAACATTGAATCAATCATGGATAATGGTATATCATGTGATTTGTGTGGTCAGAAATTTACAGTCATAAAGATTGAAACTTTCTATATATAAAAAAATTGAAACTAACAATAATACAGATATATATCATATGACTGATAATATATGACAAGTAAAAGCACTTCTAATTATCACGTTTAACATTTAAAAATAATAATAATAATGTACTTTATGAGTAATAAAAGCCGTTTTTGAAAAAGCACATTCAATAAGCACTTAGATTTTTAACAAATATTTCAATATTCTTTTACTAAAAGTACTTCTAACAAAAGTGCTTATGTCTTCTAATAAGGATTTGATGGGAAATAATTTCCCATGTATTTTTCCAAGGGATGAGAAATAGAAGATTCATTTCTCATGTTTGGTAATGGTGGAAAAGTAATTAGGAAATACCACTTTATTTCATTTCCCATGTTTGGTTTGCATAGGAATGTAAAACAAAGTTTGTTTAATTTTTTTCAATTATACTCATATGAAATCAAATAAAAAAATAGTGTTGTTAAACGAACCCTAAAATTAACTTAGCACACCCTACTACCAAAATATTTATTAAATTACTAATTTACCCTAATATAAAATGACAAAAAACAATGTATTGAATTGTGAAATAAATGTAATTTTAATAACTACACTCTATTCACTATATTCAACCATAATCAAACGTAAGCGAAAAAAAGTTACTTCCAAAAACCTTAGTATTAACTCCAATAATTTGTTTCGTCGTCATTTAATAATTTATTGATGCAAACAAGTCTCATGAATGCTCCAAATATGTCAAATGAGTCATCAAAAGAGGTATTAATTTTGGGTTTTTTGGTTTAGGTTGTAAAAAATTTACCAATAACAAATTCTCTCTATGTGCCCTCCTCTTCCTCCTCCCCCTCCTTTTCCATAGAGAGTTTCTCACGACACGACAAATAGATCACATAATTACATTCCTTCTCCACATCAATTCTAGCATCGCTGGATAATTGACAACAATTAATTCTTTAGAAACCTTATACTCTCTTGATTATGTAAAAAATCCTATAAATCTGGATAGACTTTATTTTCAGCGTTAGGGTGTATTAGGGGTATTTTTGGTAATTAAATCAGATGTACTTAGTTAATTTTGCATTTTAATTTAAATATTATAATGTACTTAGATCATAGAGTGTACTCAGTTAATTTTAAGGTTAGTTCAACAACACTAAAAAAAATGCATTTAATGTTATATTATAATTCTAAATTGTTAATGTGACAAAATGATCATGAAAAATGTGCATTTAATGCTGGTCCATTTTCCCAAAATTTCCAAGGATGTGTCAGACAACCATTTTTCATACCTGAACTTACTAAACATAGGAAAATAATTAATTTTTCATCCCCAAATCTCCTTTCATATGAACCAAAAGCCTAAGGAATTTTATATAACATATCATGGTAAACTAGGCCTATTTGCGGAAGGGTGGTGCTAGAGGCACCAACTCTCTAATAGAGGTGGAGTCCGCCAATACACCAGGGCCCACGCTCTATTAGAGATTTGGTGCCCAAATTTGGTGCCTCTAGCATTTTCCTTTGTGAACAGCCCTAAAAAAAATTAGGTTGGCAGCTGGTCTGAATTCTAATTAGGGTCCACATGAACATTAATTACAAGCTATGAGCCACGTGAGGAACGTCACTTGTGATATCATGACACGCGTGTCTCTACAAGCATGGTCCACATGGATATCTCTCCGTATACGTGTTCAAGCTTTTCCTTTTCAATTGGATCATGTAATTATAACATCAATGATAAATTATGTAAACGATACATGCATCGCTCCTTCTGGAGTCTATGTAAAGTGGTTCTTCTGTACGATCAGTTTTATATATATATATATATATATATATATATATATAGAGAGAGAGAGAGAGAGAGAGAGAGAGAGGAGAAACTTACGATGGGGTGTACATGAGATACTTAAGAGGAGGGAAAATGGAGAAGAGCCAGTTTGGAATGAGCTCAAAATTGCAGTGTCCCATGTTGTTCATGAAGTCAATATAAGTAACATAGCCAGCAAAGGATATGATTGAAGCTGTCCCCGTGAGTATAGTCGTCAACATAGGTATAGCAAAGAGTGTGAAATATGCTATGTGCTCCGCAAATGGATGAATCACAGCTGCAAAATATACATAAAATAAAAATAATAATCCATGTCAATTTTAGGTTACCTTTTTCTATTATTTTTTGTTTTGCATATATACTTCATTAAAACATTTTCACCTACTAAATTTATATAAAATAAGTGTTGCTATTTGTGCCATGTTTCGTGTCTACATTTCTGACCACTTCTATAATACATGTAAGTCTTATATATATTAGTGAGGTTTATCTTTATTAAAGGGGTAGTCGATAAATATGATACAAATAAAAAAATAAAAAAAATCATTTAAACACAATATGCTCAGAAGAAAAATAGTACTAATTTAGGGTTATTTTTCTTACAAGTGATTGGCTCAGTGACAATAGAGGAATGGTGATGAGAATGGTAGCGAGAGTAGAGGAAATGATGGTGAAGTGCTCTGTGAAGCCAATAGTAGAGGTACTCCACTGGGCCAGCATGCAGCAAAATTGTCAGGAGAACCCCATCTGTCCTCCAAAGTGGCAGCTGTTGAGCCCCAGGCATATGCCTGCTGCCTAGGTAGAACAAAATCCCATTGAACACTATTTGATCATCCCTAAATTCCAAACAAACAAACAAAAAAACAATCAAAACAAAATCCCAAATGACGTTCAGTTTCTAGTAATTATATGCTATTTAATGAGAACCTAAGTTGGGACATTTTTTTATGCACACGATAAAGAGGGGAGTATCGAATTTAAGACTTCAAGTGCAATAATGCATGCTCTTAACTTAAGTTGGCACACAAGTCCCTTACTAAAGTTTAGAACTTGGATATTTTGTTTTCAGACAGATTGTGAGATTACATTGCGAGTTTACGTGTCAAAGTTAAGTTCTAAAACTTATTTAGGTCTCTATAAATGCTCACCAATTTCTTTCTCGGTCGACTTGCTCAAACTCAAGAGGTTTGTCAACGATTCGGCCATTGCCCTTGGCGGTCTGGTATCGAGACAGAGTGATCCATATCTGGTTGTGGATCATCCTCCACAGCATAAATGGAAAGATGAGGAAATAAGATAGATCTTTCTCTTTCCCATCATTAACCACAAACGAGTATGCGCCATGAATGATCCAAGGAGCCAAGATCACATGCTGCCAAACCCAATACATCACACACAAAAAGAAAGCTTATCAAAATAATCCCACAACATGATGATGATCCATATATAATCATATATTAACCCATGATGCATATATAAGAAGTGTGTATAGTAAATGTATTCCATTTGAAGCATACAGTTCAACACATGCCAGACTATCGATGTTCACCATCGATTAAGAGTGGGAGCGAAAATGTTCTCGTGTTAAATATGTAGATGAAAGACAGACGAGAGGGAGAAAGAGAGGTGGGAGGGTTTGTGAAGGGAGACCTTAAAGTTTCCAAGAGGAGTCCATGGCCAGTCAGTGAGAATTCCTGGTGTGGAAGCCATTGTTTTGTTTGCTAGAGCTAAGAGCTACTTTGCACAGCCTATAGCTTTAGAGGTGTTTATGTCTGTATATATAGAACTATTTGACCACCACGTCAGAGTTTTTGTTGAGTTGAAATTGATACGATGTGACTGGCGGTGCCTATAATGCAAGCCTTTTTAATTGGCAGTTGGATATGTTTTTTTATTTCTTAAGATGTTGACAAAACACAAAGTCCTGTAGCAAGTAGTTCTGGAGATGGGTGGCCGAAAATTGTTATAGTCGCATGCCAATTACAAACACTTGCCTTGTACAATTTCATATCCGCGAGCACGGCCGAGTGGAATGAATAATGAGTGTCAAGCCATCCTAAATGGTCGTTTCATCGTCACATATATCATCTGGATGTTTACCCTTATATTTAATCATGCACGAAAAGGCTATGCAGACGCATAGGGCTTATGGAAATCCCATTTTCCTGCGACGGTTAGACATAAACCAAGACAGATAGACGAAAAGGCGGTCATGAGCTTGACACCTCTATGGTTTTAGACCCAGTAGAACAATTTCAGCGAAAATACCAAATCAATGTGGAGCAGCAGAAGCAGGTGGGAGAAGTAAAGAAAGGGTTAGGATCACAGCCTGTCAGGAAAAAGCAAATATGTGCATAAATATTACAATTTTGTTTTTCTCCTTTTGTTTCCTCAAGTAAATGAATTAATGACCAAAATAAAACCCAATAAATATATATTTTTTGGTCGGTATAAACACGTGACATATTTGCATAAAATATCAATTAAAAAATAGAATATTTATCAACAAATAAGGGGTCTTTCTCTGGCTAGATAATGTGATGACAACATGACATGAGATATTCTATGTTGCCTTACTTTGAATTCGGAAAATTATTTCGGTGAATTATTATCTAAATGTGTGCTTCAAAAATATATATTTTATGATTGTGTTAGGGAAAAAAAATAAATAAATAGATTCTTTAAAAATAATATTTTAAAATAATATTTTAAAAAAAAGCTAGTGCGCAAAATAAAAGTTTTTAGAATTGTCTCAAATAATCAACAAATTGAAAGACAGGAGCTAATAAGTCTCATATGACCCACATGACCATGATATATTTAGTCGGCAAAAATATATAGGTTTGCCATCATCAACTCATGAGTGATTAATTATGGGCTTAATTAAAGATGTGCCTCCTGTGTTTTACCGAAAATTCCACTGTATTTTTTACATTTCAAACTACGTCAATATGCCCCATGTCCTTTATGTATGTGTCCCTCGTTCCCCATTCCGTCAATTTGGTTAGTAAAACCGTTAACTTATTGACGTGACATATGTATTTTAGTAATTTTAGATCTAAAAATTCTCAAAATCTAAATTAAATATAAAAAATATTTAAAAAATAAACCCGCACCCGAATAGCCACCACAGCTCCCACCATAACCCAACCCATGGCTTGGGGGTGAAGATGGCTAGTGGATTGGAGGGAATGTTATCAATGTTTTGGAGTGGGTATATCACCTGGGTAGGGTAGGGAGATCATATTTGAACCATGGCGGAGTGCTAGCCATGGGTGGCTAGGTGGATTGGATTGGGTAATGGTGGAAGGTGTGGTGGTAGGGCTATTCGGGTGCTAGGATTAATTTTTTTATATTATTATTTATCTTTCTAATCTTATTTTTTAAATATTATTAAATTGTTTTTTATATTTAAATTATATTTTAAAATTTTTTAATAGCTAAAATTACTAAAATGTCTATGCCATGTCAATAAGTTAACAGTTTTACTAACCAAATTGACGGAATGGGGGAATGAGGGACACGAAAATAAAGCACATGGGGCATATATTGACCCAGTTTGAAATGTAGGGGGCAAAGTAGAATTTCCAGTAAAGCACATCGATAATTAAACCTTAATTATATGCTCAATAGGAATATTTCTTGTTGCGATACATGGAGTCCAAATACTTTATAGTTATGTTTACTAATATGTAATCGGGTTAGGAGGAATTGATAACTGAGGAGGAGTTGGAGTCCAAATTCCCATTAAAGTTGTTAACTAAACTATGTGGAATCGAGGTAGAAATGGTATTAATTCCTTATAATAAGTTGTTTACTAAATTTTTGTGAATTGAAATTGAAACTAGTTTGAGTACTAAAATGCAGTTGTTCTAAATAAATTATTGAGTTAAAGTAGATGGTAAATTTTAAAATTTGTGTGAGAATATAATGAGTAAAAAAGATGGATTCCTAATTGGCCAATTATCCAAGGAATTAGAATAGCATACCACCTCTCACCCAAGAGTTCAATTCCTCCAAAAGCAACATGAGTAAATACTATTAAATTGTGTGGTCTCGCTTGCCTTCTTATTCCTTTATGTAAAGTAAACACATGAGTGACTGCTAGGTTAAACTTTGTTAGTTTATCTTTTTTGGTTTTCTTTGACAATTTTGTAATTGCACATGTATGTCATCAAGCTTAAGATTAATTATACTAGGTTAGTCTAGTTTGAAGATGATTATTGTGGCTCAATGTATAGGGGGAGGTCGAGAAGGCCCTATCACATTAATTTCTTGAACCCAAAGCATGTTAAGGATATGCATTTATAGGACCATTTTGTGGCGTAACACATCACATTATACTAATTTCTTTTTATATAATACTAGTCTCTCCACACTTGATCCACGCTTGGAAGAGGTTTTTTTTTTAAAAAAAAATTTATTTTAGAATTAAAAAGATAATGGGTAGTTGCATTCCATAAAAATAAAATGCATTATCTTATTTTTCTTTTAATTTTAATTTTTTTTAATATAAAAAAGTGTGAATTTACCATATTATCTTCATTTAATTAATAATTTTAATTCTTAATGTTTGGATTAATTAATAATATTTTATAATATTTTGAATGTTTCATCATTCTCTACCTTTTGCTTTATATGTATATAACAAAAATTCTATTAAATTGAAGGCTAACATTACACCTAGGAAAATTAGTTTAGATAAAGGTTTAAATTTATAGTGTATAAAATGATAAGAGTACTGCCAAAATAGCTACCAAAATTCAACAATGCACGCTCACGTCTGCATAATTGAGCAGCTACTTTTAATTCGATTACCAAAAGAAGCTCCCTTCCTTTCAGAGAATTCAAACAAAAATTACGTCACACCAACTCACTGCAAATTGGCATTTAATTATGTGTGTCTAGTCTTTTCACATACTATCATTCTGTGTGTCTAGTCTTTTCACATACTAGTAAATTAGTGGCATTTAATTTTAATAATAAAAATTATAGAACCAATGCATTGGAATTGACACCTAAATAGTAAACATTGAGATACCCTACTCTTTAATTAATAATTTACGGCACTTTCCTTTTTAAAAATATTCAACGTATTAACAGAGCTGATATGATATTGAAAATTTCTATTTTATAAGAGGATAGTATAATGAGCTCTTCTTTCAGTGTACTCATTCATCATTTTTGGGTATTGTTAAAAATGTATAAATCTATTTTTCAGGTGTTCTTGAAACACTAGGTCGAATATACATTTTCATCTTGAAGTAGGCATATTGCCTGGTTAAGGAGAGTATGAATATTTGCCTATTTATTTGCCACAAACCTAACAACCGCAACCCTCTGTACAGCCACTGACAACCCAGACGCGCCATGGCCTCTCTTTTTGTCCAACTTCCAACATCTACAACCCACCATCTTTATCTCACTGAATCGGAAGTCATCAAATTAGGTTGTAGACCTTGGAGTACAAAAACAGTGAATTTTTACTAGAAGTACATCAAAAAGTGCTTTTATAGCGCGTAAACACTTTAATTATTTATGTCTAACAACACTAGTAAGTACCAATATGTTGGTATTCATGTGCACAAGAGTGTGATGTGAGTCTAAACACGTAGTCTTTATTTTATTGTAAGAGATTTTTAGTTGACGTGTAATAGACGACAATTGTTGAACACACAATGCTTGAATTAGGGTTGTAGGTATGTTTAACATATCATGATATCATGTCTAACTTATTGTTGTACAACGTTCATTATAATAAATAAATAAATAAGGTCATTTCATTAGTGATTTGTTAATGGTTGAATTAAGCGTAAGATTATAGGTGGCGTTTCATATAATAGGTCCAAACCTTGTTTTTCAACTCAACCTAACCTATCAAACAAAAATTAAAATTTTATAAAAAAAAAAAAAAAAAAAAAAAAACAATACTTTTAATTTGAATTGGTTGCTGTTTTAGGTTAGGACCATTGACCACATCACTAAATAATACTTAATTTTCGCAGAGAAGCACATCTGCCAAGTTCTCAACCGACGAGAACTCGACAGTCCAAGTAAATGCCCGACAATGATTTACATGAAGATCAGCATCAACGCGTGGATTTGATGCTTTTGCTTTTCAGAAAAGCCCGTCCAATAAATTAGAATTTAAGGGCTGTTGCCTCTACAATCATAATGTTATACCGACAAATTTTTCATAGGGAATGTAGTGGAGATGCCAAAAAAAATCTACACTTTGAGATTAACTTTCGGTGATGAGACAGACGACTGGGAAGGGTTTAAATTAGTTTTATTAATTATGAGAACGACCTTGTGTTATAAAACCATGTGTATAAAATAATATCATTTTATTTTAAATTTGAGAACAAGAAATGAAATAATCAAATGTTATTATATACTTATGTGATATAACAAATTAATATTAATGGGTTATTTATTCAAGTGGTTCTCAAATTTATACCCAGAGTTGTATTTTGATCATTCAACTAAATTATTTGCTCAAAGAATCCATCAACTCTTTATTATTCGGTAAATTGGTCTCATCGTCTAATTTTTTGTTAAATTTAACCAAATTTTATGGTAAATATGAATTTTCATAATTAAAAAAATAAAAATATGGTCAAAATTAATACACAATTAGAAAAAAATTGAAGAACAAGAGGAAAAATATCCTCAAACCCAAACCAACCCCTCCCCCAGATTTCTTCTCC